TACACCCCTGTCTGGTCACGGAGGGGATAGTCCATCGTAGTAACGAGGTTGCCGTGGTGGTCGACACCTACATTCTGGCACACCTCCATAATCGAGGACTAACCCGGTGATATGGTACATACAAAAGGCCATCAATAAACTCGCATCCCATGACTCATCGGTCATCTAGGCAAAACATTTTGCTGCTAAGGAGAACAGACGGGATTCACAGGCATTGTGAAACAGCACGGAGGGAATACGGGAAAGAAGTGAGCTTTCCACGCCTACTGTTTCCCTGTTTCTACCTGGAGGGAGGACAGTCGCATCAGTCAGCACAATATCGTCTGGAGCCTGTGTAAGCCATCTGAGGCAGGTAGATGGGAGAACTCACTTGCTAGCTTCCAAGCCCATTCCGTCTCTACGGCTCTTTCTTGCTCCGCAACAGTTCTCGGACAGCTTTCCTGCTGGTGGAGAACCTCATCTAGGCCAAATGAAGATCTGACAGACGAGCATGACTGAGCCTTCTAAGGGGCGGGACCGCTTTCCCGGTTGTAGCTAACCCTGATGTTAGAAATGTCCAGAACGGATAGATTAATGTTCCGGACTCTTGGAGGATTCGCTAGGGGATGCCTCCGAACCATGGTAGACGGCGGGAATAAGTCGGCTTCTTAGCGGCTGATGGTTAAGAGACGTAGCCTGGTTAGCAAGGATTGCCATCGTAGGAGGTCCGATTGGAAGGCATGATAACGGTCATATTTAGAAAGGTGACTCTGTTGCGTGCGGCAAGGGAGGCCTAGGCGGTATGTACGATCGACAAATCAGGCTAGATGGCAGTCGGTGAGAGCAATAGTTCGTCTCCCTACCACAGCGTTTCACTACCTCGGAATGCGTCACTCTTGCATTTCCTCTCCAGCTTCTCCCTTTCTCCTCGCCTGGTTCTCGGTCATCCTCTTCTCCGTCGTCTTCTTCCCCTCCTCGACCCATCGCTGGTACTCCGCCTCTCCACCATTTTCCAGCTTCAGCTCCACCACCCCTTTCAATATCTCCCCAATAAACCCCACAAAATTATGCCTCCTCAACGCATTTTCCCACTCCCACGCCGTCCTCTTTCTTTTTTGCCTTGCCAGAGCTTCCACATCTCCAATCTCTTGCGCTTTGATCCTTAGATCCCTACACACTGCCATCAGATTAAACCGCACCTCTTCGGGCGGGTAACGACTAATTCGTTTCAGCAGCACAGGGATGATCTTATCTGCGAATTCGTCTGTAGTGCATGGACCATGAGAGATTGGGTATGGCTGTAGACCGTCGAGTTCGTAGAGGATGTTATTCCGAACCGTGTAGCCAATGAAATGGAACACATCCTCCGTCCGCGCAGCGGGGTCTTGTTGGGTCTCATTGGCGAAGGGGCTGCTGCGTGCGAAGCTGTTGTGCGTTTCGCGGATCAGACTAGAATTGGAGAGGGCTTCGCCTAAAAGATCGGAGGGGAAGCCCGTAGTAAAGTCTTTGAAGGAGCGGAGTTCCTGGCCGATGTCAATGGTCGAGGAAGGCTGAAGGGAGGGGTTGGAGGGGTCGTTGTTGAGGATTATGGAAAGGATGGCTTGGGTGCCGCAAGCGTTCTGAATGGTTTGTGCGGCGAAGAAGAAGCCGGCGTCGGAGTCGACAGCGGCAGGATCAAACGTGCCATCTTGTGGGTTGGAGGTCGAGGTAGTCGAGGAACCAATGTATTTGAAGAGGAAGATGACGCCGTAGACTGGACTGTTGTAGTACAAGGTCAACGTCAGCGACTCGGGGATCTCGACTCGACACAATCGCTGGGCGACAGCAAGCTAGGTGGAGAGACACACACGATCACGTTACCTCAGTGCTCGAATACTATCTGAGTCCAGCTGAACCAACTCTTCGAATTGGATATCCTTGACGCCTAGCTGCTCGATGAGGAAGGTAAAAACACCCTGTTCACGGTTGCGCCAAAATTAGAACTTCAGCGGGACGAAGAGCGAAATGGCTTTCTGCTTCCGTGTAGGAAGTCTTGGACTGGCAGCCAGAGGAAGGTTGGGCTTACCTCGTCCGACTCGATAGTGCTCCATCCGCCAGCCGAGGCATCCTCGGACATGGTACTTGGGTAGGTAAAGATAGCGAAGGCAGAATGAAACGTTCCTTGGGTGGTGAATAATAGTGTTTAGTGATGTTTGACTAGTGCCGTGGTGGGAAGGTGAAAATATTCGCGTAGCCAAAAGCAGAAAATGGTTACCAGCGGTCTGGCAAGAGGCCGCGTGCTGCAGATCATTTCTATTAATATGATACCCATCTGTGTCCCCTGACCGCCACGAGACATCTTAGGCTACGGATTCCAACGCCAGAGTTGAGGCTCAGACCCTTTACCATAGCACCTCATCGCCGTCGGCTGGCTACGTAGTACCGTGGTTCGCCTGCCTGCTACCCGAATACGACACTGACTCCAGAACTGAGAGGCGAGAAGAATGATGAGATTCGTATGCATATCATTGTACAGATGAGTTAAAGCAGCGCTACATGATCCTTTTCCCGTCCTCGAGTCTGTCAAAGAGTCGCCAAGGAAATAATTACTCATAGCAACATCATGATGCTCATATCGCACAGCACGCTTGAGGCAGTGCTCCGCCCTCCCCTGGGAAAAATTGCTCGCTCACCGCCATTCGCCTTCGAACCCTTGCAAATTGGTATCTCGAAACAGTGATGAAGATGAGCAGATAATCAAAACCACCCCGGTAGCCGTCTCCGCAACGCCGTAAGGCCTTGACCATCAGTGTGGCATAGCTTGCCTTTGCAAAGAGGAAAGGAGTCAAAACATACTCTTGCCACTCTGCCCTTGGCATACCAAAGGCATGATGGACAAATACACTCACAACGCACACCCATGCTCGCTTGTTGATTAAGGGTACCGTTCCACATGCTTGACCCTAGATCAGTAAATAATGTCACATAATGAAACCTTCTCTGAACCTGGAAAACACTGCCCTCATTCCCGCTGTTTGCCCTTGCCCTTGAGCTCAGTCTCAGCCCGCGGTCCTGATGTATCCCTGGTAGCAAGAAATCTCAGTCGAACGTTCGTCATGCCCACAACTCAGTAGGACTCACGAACCCGGTCTCGATGCCATAGGCCTGAAAAGACGATGTTTCATATCCACTGCTAGGAGGTCGGTGGCTCTCCATTCTCTGTTGACCCGAAGAGTAGCCAGCACTCGACCCGAGAGGCGGCCCACTATAGTTGTACATATAATTGTTATCCTCATATGGCTGTGATGACGCTCTCGGCACGGCGTCAAAATAGCCAGATGACCGTCGTGCTCCAGAACTGCCTGACCCAGAAGTGATATAAGGTGAGCCCTGAGACGGGTGATTGCCCGGGCTTTGCATTGGAGAATGAGCGTAAACCGAACGAGGCATGGCTTCTGGAGAAGATGCAGTCTGTGAGACTGATGCAGGGTAAGGGCTATGCGGAGAGGCTTGATAAGATTGAGGGCGTTGAGCGAGGAAATGTTGCTTTGCTTTGTAGCTCGAGACCGTTCGCAACGGCACATCCATAAGACTTAGTGCGGTAATAACACCAGTCTCTTGTGGATGTGCAGCTCGTCTTGCCAATAAGACACGCTGCATATCCTCGATTGGCATGACAGACATAGAGCCTAAATAAGAACCTCCAATTTCTGGAAACAGAGGATCTAGGGCCAGCGCCACGCCAAAGAAGTGGGAAAGTACTGCCATCGCTCCCAGATCGGACTCTCCCGGTCTAAAGAGTGCTGGTGGCAGCCAGAAAAGCCACTGCCGAAGTTCTTGGAGGCGTTCGAATGCTTCTTCTGGAGCTTGTAATGGAAAATCACGACGCAAGTCTTGCAAGAAAAGGAGCAGCCGAGATGTCAAGTCCGACAGCTCAGCGTTGTTTGCTAATCGTGCTCGTAGATCGTGCAGTGCTGCAGTTGCTTGATCCAGGCGTGCAAGATCTTCTGTTCTTGGTTGTGTCTGAGGGAAACTGGGAGTTACCGGCGTCCGGGCTCCAGCAACGGATCGTTGAGACTCTATATAATTGGCAATCTCGGATTCGTGAATCCAGGGTCTCATGGCGTTCAAAACCTAGCAATGTAAGCAATGCACCGTCGTAGGAGAAGCCTAGAAAGGGCTCACTGTAGAGACGCCTTGCTGTAAGGAAGCCCAACTCCGCCTAAATCAGTTAGCCATGGGGTTACGCTACATCATTAAGCATTCTTTACCATTCAATCGCTTGCCATGACAGGAGCATTGACGCAGCCAGGATTGCTTCAGAGTTGTCCCTAGCAAATGCTCCAATAGCTTCGTGCAAGCCTTTCAGAGCAACGCCTCGATGTTGGTATGCGAGATGTTCTGTTTCTGTGTTTTTGGTCTGCCATGCAAGATGTGATGCTGACAGAGCGAGAACAGCGCTCAGCACAAAGTCGTTTGACAGAGCAATGGCCAAAAATCTGCATGCATGATCAGCACATTAGCAATAAAAGCTCTTGATCCCGGAACAGGTACGCACGCTGGCATCTTTTGAGCCCAAACAGTACAGCCGCTGTAGCCGCGTTGATGCATATCGATGGACAAGCCGGCAATGTGGTGTATCAAGCGAAGGTCAATGCTAGAGAACCGGTGCCAATATGATTTGGAAGTCATGCGAAGTTCAGGGAACGGCGGCTCTCCTGTCATCCGCCAAAGCTCCAGCTCTCGTTCTACCTCCGGCGTCATCTGAAGATCTGGTGACAGGGGGCTTCGCGCAGACTCTTCGACAACAGGAGGTTGATCCATGTAGTCGCAACGGCAGTTGTGTTTTGTACAGTTTCGACTGGTACATATTAGCACCTCGCTCATCCTGAGAGCGGATTTGGCGTACCATTGCGGAAAAGTCTCATCACATCGAATATGTCTCCTTTTACAAGTTTTACAACCCTTTCGAGACTTGGTATGGCTTTTGCGGGGGGGGCCTCCACCTGGACCTGCCATTCCACGAGCTCGAGAGGCTGGATAACAGAGACAAATACCAGGTAGTCCAGAGCAGGACTGCTTCAGTTATCGACAGCAGCTGCGTAGGTGAGATACAGTACAGCGGCAATACCACTTCCTGAACCCTTCAGTGGGATGGATAATCTATAAGGTGGTGAATAAAATGTGCGGCTCTAAGAGTCGACAATCGATACCAACTCCAGCAACCGTCTAGCGACGGTGAGTGTTTTCAAAAGGATGTCAACAACTGAAAAGGTGGAGCAAAATTAGCGCAGATTGACGAGGAAACAGTCTTTATGACCAAGCACAACGGACTGGCGTATCCTGTTGCCACAGGACAGACAAATGCATGCAGTGTGCAGTGAGTCAAATGGTCAGATGCGTAGTCAGAGTCGACGGGCATTGTCGGTGAAGAACCCCATAGGTCTTCTTGAGGTTGAACCCAGAATAGAATAGGTCAAATTCAGCTTCCACGAGCCGGGGGGGAAGGGGAACGGTCTGCTTTTAGCCGTATGCCAAGTGAGTGGTAATGTTGCTGAAAGTGACAGGTGAGGACCGACCACCGGCCCAGAGCTGATGGGACGTGGCGTCGGATTAGTAGGAGTCGAAACCAGGCGGCCAGCAGTTACAGTAGTAGCCATGACATAGCCCTTTCTGTCATAGGACAGTTTGAAGGGTCGAGGCGGGATGAGAAGTGACCAGAGTGGCACTGGTGCTGGCATTGGTGGTTGGTACTACTAGCTGGGCCGAAGGTACTATGGAAAGGCGCCAGGCGATAGGATTCAGGACCAAGTGAGCCTTGCGCACTCGTGTGAACAGCTTGTTGATCCGGTTTAGTGCAGCGCGGAGTGAATATCTGCTCTCCCATACTCTACGTGTATTGGGGCATTCTGAGGTTTCCAATTAACTGTACTTACTACTAGGCAGGGTATTGATCTGCGAGGCTAACATGGGGTGAGAGGTGGGCCTCCTGCACACCAGCTTCGGTTCAGACCTCAGGGCGTACTTTAGATCCAATTACATGCCGCTCACATTCTAGGTAGCGTGTGCGCATGGATGTGGGGCGACTCTTTGATGGAACCTAACTCTCTTTGTTAGTGGTCAGATACCCCATCACCGATCGCATTGGATCACATTCGATGATACCATGGTAGTACTTATGAGTTATGGCAATTGAGGGGTTGGAACAACCTTAACGACACTCCTTCCACCTACTGCCTACCAACCTTGCTAAGTACAGTACTACGTACTTTTAGTTGTGGAGCTTGTGACGGGAATTGCAGCCTAAGCCCAGCGAAATCCAACGCCAACTCGGAGGAATTGCTATTGTAAGAGTGCTTGGAGGAGACCTGTAACGTTGCTGATATTAGACCCAGCCGCATCCGACTGCACCACGTCCGTCATGCCGGGTCAAAAGCATGGACGAAAGCCATGTGACCCCGCCCCTCAAGAGGAAGCGGTAACAAGCATGTACAAACTTACCCAGCATATTTTTACCCATCTCAACATCGGCGCGAAATTCAAGGCTGTGAGATTTAGATTTCTTCTCTCAGGGCCCTCCCCCCGGAATGTGGCTGGTCTAACATAGGTTGGTGCGCCCCGGTAACCAAGGTTTGCAAACGCGGGATGTGCCGGGATGCTCAATATGAGGAGCTTAATAATCAGCATATCAGCTGCCAGTTCTTATTTTTCCTGCGTTCAACTCGGATGTCAGCAGTCCGCCTTGAGGTAGGACGGGGAAGGACTTGGGTGACAGGAGTCGACAAACACTTACGGGAAGCTTTGTTTTAGAGGCCTGTCTACTATAGTACGTAATTTATCACTAAGTCCCCACATACACAACTGTGTTCTCGGTAACTAGTCCTTTGAGGCTCTGGGCAGGTCGATGCACGTCCGACCACATCATCGCATGGGACATTCGGCTATTTGGCGAATGAATTAAGAGTGTGAGAGTGTGAAGTCCAGCGCTAGGGACTAGCCTAAATTAGGTTCTGTTTGGTAGCCTTCATGGGTGGGTCTGACAGGAGCACTCTAATTCTATAGATAGACCGGAGGCCCACTATAAGGGGCCTGCATATGCAAAGTAACCAAAGTCGGGGTAGATGACGCTGTGTTTAGATATGCTAGAAGATTATGTGGCCGTCGTTAAATGCGCCTAGGGCACTAGATGGATAGCGGAGATGAATTTACCGTGAAAAGGAGGATAGAGAAGTTCCCAGCCCCCTTGTTGCCCCCCAGCTTCCGAAACCCCCGTGCACAAATTATTCCTTATAATTTATTACCGTCATAACTGATTCATAAGGGCCACAAATGTTGCTTTTCGGTCCTGAACATGGGTTAAATAGGCATCAAGCTCGTCGTCCTCCTCAATCAAATAGGATATTTCCTGGCCTCCAGCACCTTTCTCAATCCCATCGACCCGCACTATAGAGGCATTAGGCCACTTGGACGCCAATAATGATCGAAGCTCTGCCACGGTCCGCGAGCTTAGCGCACCCAACCACACCTTTGATGTTTGGTATACCTGAGATCTTGGGTGAGGCCGTAAATAGACCGCAACTGGAGCCTCTGCACTGGTAGTTTGTATTGTTGGGATATAATTGGATAACGTAGCGGGAGAACGTTGCTGGTTAGCAGCAAACGATGGATCGTTAGCTGCTTGCAATAGAGACGGATCAATCTGCGTATCGCTGATGCTGGAGGCAGTAATGGGAGTGCTTGCCAGGGCTCTGGAGGCGAGGGCACTAATCCCATTACCAAGACTATTGCTCCGTTTGGCTGATGCTTTATTGGTTGTCTTCTTGGCAGAAGGATGTTCGGTTGACAACGCGAGCTGGTCACGATCTTTCTTGGTAGGATCTCGTTTTGTCTGGTCATCCCTCAAGCGTTTCATAACGTCTCGACAAAGTACCTCCACTGCTTTCACTTTATTGGGGTGATCAGGATCGGCGTCACCAGGAGCTAAGATTCCTAACAGGAGTGGTTGACCTTGCATCCATTCCTCTTTCAGCTCGTTCCAATGCTCATCACCAGCCTCTAGTTTGCTTGTGAAATGATCTGCCTTGAGCCTGCTGTAGAAAGCATTCCGGACCTGCCGACTTTGTTCAGGGTTGATGCCTAGGGCATTCTTTGCTTCAGCAATAGTCATACGACGCTCCATCGTACGCATCCGTTTGGTGACGTCTGTGCAGATGACATCCAAAGCAAGCGCTTTCGCATCTAGTTGGGTATTTTCAGTCCAGAAGACCTTTTGGAGGTGCGCATTCTCCTGGATCAATCGATCTTTTGCCTGCTGCCACTTATCAGGCCCAGCTATGGTCTTCTTAATGATCTCGGAATCATTGCAGATTCGTTGAAAGTGGTCTCGAACCCTCCGGTACATGGCGTTGTCAAGGCTGAGAAACACTTTACTCTCGTCCAATGTGGTTTCTGACGGAAATCGAGGAGGGCCCGGGGGGTCAGCGGGCATTCCGGCCCAACCCCGAGTGCGACGTCGTCTCTTCTTCTCCTGCCATCTTTGATCACTCTCGGCTTGCAATTTGTCGAATCTTTCCTTCCTCTTCGCCAGAACCTGTGATGACAGTGCTGGAACCATGGCAGCCGGTTCGGTGGCAAGAGCTACCTGATCCTGAGATAGTGAGATGTCTGGGGCAGTTTCGGAAATAGCCTGTGTTGCACCAGGAGCTTCTATTGTGCCTGCTGCTTTCATGCCGTTTGCAACTCGCAATAGCCATCGATTTTTGGCCCGAACTCGCATCAACTCGCGCTCTTTGATCTCATAGCCTTCTTCATTAAGTATCCTCAGCATATCTCGTTGCGTCGTATTCTTCTCCCATAATTCCTTCACCCTGGCCACAAGATCAATGTTGCGATGCGCTGGGTTCTGCTTGCTTGGGAAGCCTGCAGCACATTAATACAGACCTCAGGAGAGACAGAGTTTGCGCAAACCCCAGCGTCTGAATTGAGTCTGGAAAGCTCGTTTCGAGGGAGCAAATGAATACGCCTCTCGCATGTATTGCATGATCTCTTCCAGAGCCTGCAACTAGTGAGACCAACACCAACATGTATACTTTTTGGCTTACCTTTCGCTCCTTGATGTACATCTGGTAACAGACATCGCGATAGTCCTGCCAGTCATAAACCTTGAGATTGTCAAAACTATCAGTGCTAGATGCTATTGGAAGACGTGGGATAGGCCTACCATTGTGACAAATCCTGGTTGTGTTATGAGATGGGCACCGTAGATTATGCTCGCATCGCTTGACGTAGACGGTGGGCTGAGGATAGAGTTGTGAAGTGCAGATAGCCGCCAAGGCGCTACGTTTCGGCTCAAGATTTTCCGTGCTTGCGCCCGGAACATGTATGTATTAGGAAATGCTCCCTGTAAGTGATATTGTTGCTCAAGAATCCCCCATTTGTGGTAAACATGCAATCGTCTCGTGGCGAGATGGTCAAGGGTATCTCAATTAAGCAAAGCTTTACATACTCAGTAGTGAAAGGCCGCATGGCTAACTCCGTTATTTTTAGACGACTTTTCTTCCCAGTTTTGCCAGACGCCTTTCCCATGTTCTTTCTGCCACCCGCCTTTATTATTATTTTTTTGGCTGTCTCTCAAGTATCATGGACATAAAAATTGAAGAACATACTGAGCAGAACTTAAAGACTACTAGAGCTAATGACAGCGAAAGTGTTCCTCGACGGAGCTTTAGAGACCATGTATTACGATTTGGCTACTCGACAAGCTCCCCTACTAAGCAGCTCTCTCAAGACAATCCAGTCTTGCCTCCGGCACAGCCAACATCTCCGGTACTCAAGCGCAAAAGATCACAAGCATTGCCGCGAAAGGTGGCCTCCCACCTCGATCCTGCTGAAAGCTCCATTCAAGAAGCCAAGAGCGCCACTCCCAAACGCAAATCAACACCTCGCAGCAGAAAGGCCTCTTCAGCCTCCGCATCACCCGCCTCTCCTGGCACCCCAATAATTTCCAAACTTCACGACACTCTCCGTCCAAACCTCACTCTCGTCCTGATAGGTCTCAACCCGGGCATCATGACTGCCAACACCGGCCACCCATATTCCCACCCGTCGAATGGATTCTGGAAGATCCTCTACTCAAGCGGCATCACACCTATCCAGCATCGTCCACAAGACCACCGTCTCCTACCCGACCTCTACGGCATCGGCAACACCAACATCTGTGCGCGCCCCTCCCGGTTGGGAAGCGAGCTGACTAAAGCGGAACTCGCCGAAGGTGCCAAGATCCTAGATGACAAGATAGCTACATATCGCCCTGAAGCAGCTTGTATATCTGGCAAAGGGGTTTGGGAAGCTATATGGATTTACAAGACAGGACGGAAGAAGATGCCTAAGGATGGGGAGGGCGCGTTTCAATATGGATGGCAGGACGACAGGCTACGGTTGGGCAGGACAGTGGATGCGAAAAGTGGAGAGGTGGTTTGGGAAGGGGCGATGACATTCGTGGCGCCGAGCACGAGCGGACTGAATGCAGGGATGAGACCGGCGGAGAAGGAGGAGGCATGGAGACCGATTGGGGAGTGGATGAGGAAGAAGCGAGAGCAGAGAGGGATGAAGCTCGAGACCGTAAAGACGGAGCAGAAGATGACAAATGGCGTTGCTATGGCCACCAAGGACCTCGACCCTTTTGTTTGATGATGAGCCTACATTTGGAGGCCGAGAAGTGCCAAAAAAAAATTATTCGGGCAGTATCGAACCCCAGCCGAGAATATGAATTTGGATGATTCAATGTTATCTGCTTTGAGGGCTGGATCTCAAAAATGCATCGACATGCAAAACCACTGCGGGTATCTTAACCACCTGCTTCGTATTCTGACCACACCTATATCATTGGGGTGCTTTGTCAACCTGACGAACGTTTTACCCTTTCCCCCCATTCTCGTCACAGATGATCTCTGTATGAGGGCCGGCGCTGGTTGCTTTACCCAGCATCAGAATTGTGCGGTGACTTTATGTGCACGTTCGAAGGCCGATGATGGCGGCTCTTTCTGTTCAAGGGGCCCAGTGGTAAACTCTCTGACTAATATCGCTTTCTCGTGGGCTCTGGTGTAGGACTCTTGCTCATACTCCTCTCATCCCTGCCCCTCTCCTTCAACCATTTCTTAGTAGCTAACTCCAGCTCTCGGTCTAACTCCGGACTCGGTTCCTTCCTATGTATGAAGTTGCAGAATCCGCCCCTGACGCACCCCTCTCCACTATTCAGCCGACAGCAGGCTTCTCGAAAGTCTGTTACTGGCGACAGCTCGCAGTATATAGGTCGAGCGGCGTACCACCGCGAATTGAGCGCATCGCAGGCTTGCTGTGCAGAGTCTTCGTATTTGAATCGCGCATAGACGTTCCCGATGAGATCTGGCAAAGCGCACCAGGTTAGCAATCATCCTAATAAATGATATATAGTGCAGTTTCTTAAGGGGTAGCTTACGATCGTTATTATTATCGCAAACAACAACCTCCTCAATCTCTCCGTATTTGCACATCTCGCACCAAAAGTCCTCGTAAAATGCATCGAAGTGGTTCTGTAGTTGAGAAGCGTTCATCTTGTTCTTCGGATCGTAAGCGGGATTTTGGTAGAGGTTTGGTAGGAGAATGGTTTGAGAATAAGATGGTTTGACATGTTTGCGCGAACAGCGGTCGCCATGTCGGCAGGCACCGATTTTGTAGTAGAATGAGCAGTTGACCTACAAGTAGTGTGATTAGTGAGTTTCTCGACGAAGTTGGATACTGAGCGCATTGCTTACCTTGTCCTGTTCTGTACCGAAGATGGACGCGAGGTAATTCGCCATGTTGGAGAAGCTGCTTGGAGGTCGATTGGTAAAAGCGATTTGGCAAGACGCTGGTGGAGATAGTTGTGTCTGCTGCCAAAGTCTTGCTGTAGTGGCTGCGGCTTTGGATTCAAGAAGCGACAGTAGAGTAAGATTCGCGTGCAAGAGACAGCAGGACCGAGGATGATGTCTTGGCGATATGACTTGCTTACCAAAGTTGACTCAACTAACTTATTCTGAAGTAGTTAGTGCATGATAGAAAGCATCTTCTCGAATCGGAATCAGTCATTAAACCGCCTTCTGTAGCTCTCTTGCACCATGCTTTACTCCTGCAACACATGCTTCTCCACTCCTCATCACTCACCATCTTTCGGTGGGGAAATCTCCCTACTACCTCTCTGGATAATTTATCCTTCATTGCCTCCGTATGTTAATTCTCAAACTTATAGTAAGATGCTGGAGTCCACTCAGACTGTTAATGCTGGTTTAGCACTTGAGCCTCAAGGTTAGATATGGAGTGCGGTGTTGTAATGTTGCCCGTACCCATAGGAAAAATCTGCGAATTTTGTTGATTAGTTTGGACACTACAAAACGGTGCTGATAATAAACGCTGCTTGCTTGTTTGTTTCCATTAGTTGTTTCTCTCTTTCTACTCATCCTTTGTATGCGGGTTGTTAGAACTTTCCAAATACTTCCTGAACATCTTCCGATGAGCATCTTCCATGCATGAGAGAGGCTGTCAGACTGTGAAGATGACCTTATCTGAGACTGTTCCAGGCAGTTCTTGTGCTCCGTCTGGGTGTGATGGTACGTAAACGTGTCAGCAAGAAAATGCCCTTCCATCAGACTGACATAGTTGTTTCTGAGTTAGCAGTACAGCCGAATACAGCTGAACTTTTACAGTATGGCAGTGGGAAGCGGGGACATTCTCCCAGCACCAAGAAGCGACTCGCTGAGAGCAACGCCCGGTACTATGAGCTACAAAAGCAGTGTGGTAAAGAACTCAAAGAAATGATCCCGAAAGCAATTTTGGTAAAGGCCGAGGCTCATCCAGGGTCAAAGCGTGAGCTGCTGCATACCATGAATGCATTAAAGCTCTATATCACAGGCTTGTTAGAGGACAAGAAGCGGCTACAAGAGCAAATCATGCAAAGCTCTCACTCCATGAACATTAGAAAAAGCTGCGATAAGGAAGTTGAGATTGCACCAGGTTTACGGTCGCTCTGGCCTCGCCCAGCACAGCAGAGTGGCATCAAGGTTGGAAATGATGACAAAGCAACTGCGGGCGCAACTGCTGTGATGGATGTGTCTGATCTGGGCCGCGAGGAGGGCAAAGTCATAGGTCGATTGCCAGAGGTCAACCATGCGGATGGAACATTGCCTGAAACGCCCACTCCAGAGATCTCTCCTTATGATTCGCTCCTTCGTCAGGCAGTTGAGAAGTTGATTGCCTTGACTAAAGAACGTGCTATGGGAAGTCAGGGTGTTCTTGACAACAAGCAGATTGACAGACTGAATATCGTTCATGACTGCATTGTCGAGATGGTGGAAGATATGGGCAGAGAATAAGAATGGTTCAGGCATGAACAGTGTGGGCGCGAACAGTTGAAAGATCAAGGACAGGCTACGTGGACAGGAGGCCACAACATGGGACCTTCGCGCAGATGGTGGAAGCTATTGCCAGGAGAAATTGGTAGTGGTTGGGCAACACCTCATGACAGTTGCACCGGGGTTTGCGGTTCCAAAAATGAGTTGGGGGGTCATTGGAGGTGTGGATTATTGTTGCTTTTGCAAGACTATTCGCCAAAAGCCCAGAGATTGTGTGGCCTCTTTATCAAAAGAAGTGGGTAGAGAGCTCTTTGGCTTTCACCCAATCACACGTCACTCTGCTTCCCTCCTTGCGCTTCCATCATCCACTTATTCTCCGTAGACATTCAACGCTTCCAAGTCTACTCTCCACCACCCTTTCGATACCATGGCGCCCGGTCAGTGGGACTCAGATCATGATAAAAACCTTCTACTCCTCTTACTTGGCCCCGAAACTGGAGTATCTCGAGTGCGGTTCGACGAGGTGGCTGCAAAGATGACCAACGGAGTCTCTGGTAATGCCTGTCGGTAAGTCTTGCAATGTCTATTTTGTTGATATGTGTGATCTCTGTCCTCTGCTTGGGTACTCTCCTTGGACTCATGGAATTGCGACTTCCGAACTTTCATCTTGCTTGCCCAAGAGTCACTGGCCAGTGCATCTTCCTTACCAGTGGCCTCGGAACATTCTACTTCGCCCACAGTTTGGTGGACAGACAGCCACCAGAGGATTCCGTCCATCCTTGTATCTAACAAAGGAGCGGTCTCCGGCGCTTTCGAGCGATCAGGATCGGTGGGAGATAAGAGACAATTGAGGGACTGTCTGGCACATTTGATCCCCAAGTCCATACTTTCCATTCGGCGAATTTTCCCGGGATCGACCATACTCAGCCCTGATTACACACCTACTTTCTCTCTATCAGAGGACTTGAACCTAAGCCTCTGGCCATCACTGAAGGCATCATCCAAACCCCATATCCCGATCCTCTCTTACGACATCAAACATGGCTCCATTCTGGACCGATGAGCGCGATAAAACCCTCCTACTTCTCATGCTTGGTCCAGACAGAATTATTACTCGGGCGCAGGCGGCAGAGATAGCGCAGATGATGGGGGCGCCAGCTGCAGGTGACACTATCCGGTATGTGGTTCTCGGTGACACTGGAGACTGTACCCTTTCTGCCAGAACAGTCTGGTCTCGCCTGGTCCTTTGCTTCGTTCCTCACTCGATATTATCGGGGCTACTTTGACTTCCCTCTTACAAATTTCGAGAGTTCGCATCACCCAGCACTTCTACACATCTCAAACCCAGCAACCTCGCCATGCCTCTCTTTGTATGGGACGATGCTCGAGACCGACGCTTTCTACTGCATCTTCTTGACACAACCGCATCTTTCTCCCAAGCTCGGTTTGCCGAGATTGCACAAGAATTGGGCGCTCCGCCATCAGGAGACACGTGCCAGTAGGTTCTGGATTAACTACGTGTCGCCTGTGTTCTACATCTGTCTGCAAGTCTATAAAGCCACCGGCCTCTGATATACTCTTCACTTGTCCTGGAGCTCCCATCAACCCAACCACTTCCCTGCTTCTGCTCATTTTGGCTACACCACTACCTTGCGACTTCTGTCGTTTGTCCAAAGATTCGACTGAACTCATCATGCCTGGTCCTTGGGATCACGAAACCGACCGAAAGCTGCTACCTTGCCTGGTGGATCCCAACCTCAAACCCAAATGGGCCGACGTCGCAACAGACATGGGCTCAGGCTTCACTAGCGAGTCCGTTCGGTATGTCTTCTGGAAGGTTGTCGAATGATTGTTTTGTTTCCTCAAGCGGCTTTTCTACATTTTGCTTGACTTACACTGCAATATTTCTTTTGCTCTTGTTCAGTTTCAACCCTTCCTCTTCCCACCACCGCATCACATCACTTGCTACCTTAGCATCCTCCACATACACAAAAAGGCCATTATCTCTTCCCCAGCTACAACTCCAGCGCCAACACAATGCCTCTCACCTGGACACCAGAGAGCCAGCGCGATCTCCTACTTGTCGCCATCAGCCAAGGCAATGTTCAGCCAGGCCAAGCACTATGGAACGCCATGATTCAAGCCTTGGGTAATGGAGTTACAGATCGAGCTGTGAGGCACTTTCAAATCCCTGCCCGCAATTCAGAACACCGCAGCCGATCTCATTCCCCTTACCTTCACTCCACTATCACATTTCGTTTTCCCATTTCAAAAGTTCTCTACACCCATGCACTTATAAAAGTCAAATCTTTCCATATCGCACTCGTCTTTTATCGCACAAAATGTCTTTCAGCTGGAACAGCGACTCCGACCGAACAATCCTCCTCCTCGCCATGGGAAAGACAGTAAGTTTCCACAAAGCCAGCCCATTCTGTGCTGAGGTTGCTTCATTTCTCGGAGGCGGTGTTACCCCAAATGCCGTTAGGTACATCATCTTGCGGTGTTCTTGGACTTTGTTTCTGCCCATGCTTGATTTTCATTTTCTCACTTCCACTTTACTTCTGCTTGCACATATCATCGCATCACTCCACTACCACCATCACACATCACCTCTTCGTCCTTCCATATATCAACCACCACCTTCGCGATGCCTCCCAAAGGTAGCAAGCACATCGCATACAAATGGTCGCCCGAATCAGAGCGACTGATCCTCCTCAGCGTGCTGAAAGGAGCTGAGTTCCAAGCCACCAGACCCTTCTTCAACCAAGTCGCCGAGAAAATTGGAGGTGGCGTCACTGCGGAAGCAGTTAGGTATCTCTCGCTTCCCGGATCTATCACAGGCCTGGCCCCATCTGGAAAACATCCACTAATGATCTTTCCTACCTCGAAAAATCTGGCTGTTTTGGTTCATCCTATTTGTTTCCTACCTTACTTTACTTTCAGAAGTCTTGCTAACCGATCTTTTTTCTTCCTGATAACAGTCAACGCTTCTACAAGCTGAAGAAAGAGTCCGAAGCTCTCACCGCCGGAACCGCCACTGCCACTGCCACTGCCAACAACGGCACTACCGCCTCCGCTCCCACCCCAGCTACACCCACTCCCAAGAAATCCCGAGCTGCACCCGGCACCTCTGCTCGCAAACGTAGGAACGGCGCCACGAATGGAGATGGAAATGGCAACGATGGCGACAACGCCGACGAATCACCTACCAAGAAAACCAAGACCGCTACCTCCGCCAAGAAGAAGAAGGTGGCAGCTACTGAAGCGGCGGCTGTTGCTGCTGCTGAGGAAGGTGCAGATGGTGAAGATGAGATGGTAAAAGTCGAGAATGACGATGGGAGGAGCGACATCACCGTCAAGGCGGAGGCGGAGGAGATTGCAGATGCGAATGTTGCTGGTGATGATGACTGAGATGAACGGAGGCCGAAAGGGCTAGGGCACTGCGGACGGGTCAATGAGTCTTCAAAAAATCGTTTCAATCATGGCTTCCGGATACGTGATGGGAAAAGGGACTTGATCATTCTGCACCACTGGTCGGATCTGGAGTTGGAGGGATTGGTCTTACTACAGCGCAGACATCGAAAATCAGTCTCGCCCTACCTACCTACTTGCTTGCTCGTTTTGCTCGTTTTGCTTTGGGGATCGCATCGGATCGGGACAGGACAGAACTTTTGCTGGATAGGATGGACGGTGCAACCGGCATGGTTTTCACATACTCATGCATCATGAGGCGAGGAGACAGACACGAACACGGTACACTCATCCCAGTAGTCAGTCACTCAGTCTTCAGATTCGATTATCCTACTAGTCAGCTAGCTAGCTAGTACTACTAGTAACTACTACACTACACTACACGGATTGCGCTCTGCTCGAGAGCTAGATTGCCCGCTCTCCCTCCCCAAACCCAACAAGTCTTAAGATTAGTTTGCCTAAACCCGGATGATCCAGTCGTAGTCGTGTGAGATATGACTTGTCCCCTTCAAGATCGGCTGGTATTCAGCAGCCTACGTTCCCTATGTGGCCCAAGTCATGGGCACTCGGACAAACCAAGCCCGAAGGTCAGGTGTTGTGCGTCCTGAACGGGATTGTGAAATGCTTGGTGATAAATTGAGAACTGCTGCTGCTACGCTCACGAAGGAGAGAGATCCACTCAATGCGTACGGAGCTCTCTAACGGCTAAGTGCATATATTGGATGGGATGGAATTGGAATCAACGGGTAGCTGCACCTCGCCAAGATCTCAAAAATCTGGAGTCTTTAATCGTTATTGTATTAGACAAGCCGGCGTGGGTGTGACCACATGTAACCCGTCAGCGTCACTTTTTTTTGGCATCTGATGGAGACTCGTGGAATTAGATGTTCCGTTCTTTGGATAGAGAGGTTTTTACAAGCTCGGAAAGTGTCACTGGTCCACTCACTATATTGTATGATGACCCCTGTTGGAAAACTCTTCTTGTGGGTTCTTCGTGACTCAGGCATTGTGTCCATCAAATCAAATCAAATGCTTGGCAAATCAGACCCAAATCAATGCTTTCGTCAAAGCAAATCGGCCTCCGTAGATTTGACGAATTGGTCAAACTAAAGTCTTGACAGAAAAGTCTCTTATTTTGAAATATTTGAGTATATATTTCGACGGGAGAATAATAGGCTTGGCGGGATCTAGATGAGAATTCAGGTAAATCCCTAGAAATATATTGCTTACTGAGGTTTGACTCGATTGGACAATTCAGTTCAACAAAGCAAATCACGGTTCTTGATTGAATGATCAAAGCAAATCAGGGCCTCAATTTACTTTTTTTGATTTGATGGATACCTGTTCGTGAGCTGGCAATAACGCGGGTAGAAAATCACCTACCATATGTTGTGTATTTTCATCTAGTCAGCTATCATCGAGACATGGTCAACCGCTGCTGCGGCCGCTTGTCGTCGCAGCCGTACTACTGATATGTTCTTTTAGCCGCCGAGATTTGGGCAATGCTGCAGCACTCGGAAAGTTGGGGTCTCCATTTTGGGGGTTGGGGGAGCCATTCAATACCTACAGTCGATGAGTGTTGGAAAGACCAATCCTCATTGATAAAACGTCTATCGAAAGCAGGAGGATCAGGAGCACTGCGTTGTATGAGTTTCTCACTTTTCGGGCCTCAGACAGAGCGGCGTTTCATGCGTGCGGCAAGCTCGTATGTCTGGTGCCGCGACGCCATGTCGAGGGCTCTACTTGACGGTCGAGCAGGCCGAGACGACGATAAGGAGTGGTGATGTTGCAGACTGTGCTGGGACATTATTAGCACTTTAGGAAGCACAGGGCTCCACAATATACTTTGAGATGCGGATTAAAGAAACAAACCGAGCAACGAGCTACTCCATTTCGGAGTGGACATTATGCAATGCAGGAGCATCGTGCTCCTGGACTATTCTCCCTTCGGTCAGAATCCTCCATGTAAAACTTCTCTGCCGAACCACATGTTCATGAAATACTCGGTGTGGTATTGCTTTTCGTAAAAGGTCTTGCAAACGAGATAGCCCTCCTCTGTGCCTTTCAGAAAAGAAAGACTCCTGCAATGCTCCGGGTAAATACCAGCCCGAGCACTCCCAATCGATGATGGCATAATATGCCCGTCTTTGACCATTATGTTGTGAAAGGCAAGATCATCATGAGTGAAGACGATCCGATGATTGGACTTGTGCACACCGGATACATTTCTCGACCTGACACTGGGACTTCGGGGTGTAACTGCGTAAGCTGCCATTCGTTGAACTCCTGTTCTGACCGAAACGATCATCCGATAGCAGATGAGAACTGTCGCCGAGCAATGGCAGGGCCGCCATTCACGGATCCAATCAATGTACCTTCAGGGACAAATATTCGTCGGAGCTGGCCCACGTAGTCTTGCAGTTTTTTCGTGATGGTGGACTTGTCCTCCGCAGACAGACTGTCTCAGACGTCCTTCAGTAATACACCATCTATGTGTTCCATGACGAGATAATTTGTTCCATCCCCATTGTAAGCATTTAGAATCTCAGGAACTGGAATTGTGGTATTGTCGCGAACGAATAAGTACCATGCCTCTGCTTCGGTCCAAAAAACCTTGGATCCATACTTGACGACGGTATCCACGCCCACCTTCACCACCTTTGGAGACATACTCTCAGCCCAAAAGAAGCCGTTGGAAATCTTATCCTCGGGTATCCTGGGCCGATTGAAGTTGCGCAGTCTGAGTGGCTGATTGGGATGATTTAAGGCTGAAGCTTTGTCATGTGATTTTCGTTCTTGCGTTCGCTCACGTACAGCATTTGACTGAGCTATGGTAGATGTCACTAACACCTCAAGCATAGGAGGAAAGCTAGATACGTGCTCCATGTGGCCCTGGTACCATGGAAGCAGATACCCGCTAGCACAGAAATCAATCCAGACGCCTAGGAGTACGCCGCCCAACACGACACGACTCGACATAAGCAGGTCGGTAACGTCAGAGAGCGAGATTTCCAAGAATAATCGTTGGATAAATAGTCCTATAATCATTGGATGTCCAATGGCAACGAGTCGGGATGACACATCAAGCGAGTGTACTAATATTGAACGTGCCAAATCTTCCAAGTATCCATAAACACCCTGAATCATAAAAATGCACCATTAAGTCGTCACCACAGCCGCAGCAATAATAACAAAGTTAAGGACCCATGAATGGATATTGCTCCAGTTGGCAGCTGCATCTTGGAAATGACAGCCCCGTGTGCCTAGGTAAAGGTACAGTTCCTTCTTACTGCGGGCACATGGTGTCTGAGCGAATCAGTCTTTCAAGGAGTCTTCTGGTCATGCGTGGAACGTGGTTGAAGCGCTTGCAGAAGCTATATAGTTCGAGAGATTACCATGAGACGAATACTAACTAGAGAACATCAGGAACGAGAAGCTCTTGCAACCCGATCGTGTCAAGTAGACGGGCACGAACTGCTGCATCAGAGCTCTTCTGTTGAGAATCTTCTGGGAGTGTCGAAGGTCCTTTCACGTCCGGACGGCCAACAAACTGGACCAGTTCTTCAAAGCCACTCCTTGTGTGAAGATTGAGACAATGTGCTTCCTCGGAATCGACCCGAGCACTATAAACCGTACCAGAAGGGATATATACCAGGGAGCCTGTACCAGCTTTGACGACCCGATCACCCAGCAGAAATGACATGTTCCCGTTCAACACGTAGATCATCTCATCTTTTTCCTTGTAAATACGGGGAGCGATGACTATGCCTGTGCGAAATTTGACCTCCAAGAGACAATAGCAGCCTCCAGTCTGCTTTCCATCCGCTAGTATTGTCCAGTGACCTCCCATGGCCGTGATCTTCTCAAGATTGCTAGCATTTGCAGTGAATGGGAACAGCTTCGCACTTGGCGTCGGCTTAGTGAGCATCTTCGCTGGATCTGGTCTGTCAACAAATGGATTGCCTAGCACGGAGATTTGTCCGTAGTCTGCCGCCAGCTTCTCCGCTAGCCACGGTGAAGGCATCATTTCCTCAATAAGCTCAGGAGGCGGCGGCTTACGCTCTTTCGCGGGATGCGAGATTGCGATGAGAAGCTGTTCAAATCCAGCAGGTAGGTAGAAATTGAGTACATGGGTGTCTGGCTCGTCTACCGTGAAGGAGTGCTCAGTATTGCCGGGAATGGAAACGAACGTGCCGGGAGATCCTGGAAGGCCTTGATGACCTCCAGCGTTGAAAGTACATCTGCCTGAGATAACATAGAGACCCTCGTCTTGCGAATGAGTATGAGTCACCGGACCTCCTCCTCCGCCATCATGAACAATTTGATCTAGAAGCGTAAATGCATTATCAGTCTGAACCCCAGTTGCCATGACCTGCCAGAGGTTTCCGATTTGCCAATAGGCAGGAGAGTCATCGGCATTAGTGACGAAGGGTTTGGCAATCTTGACCATGGTGTATATATGTACTCTTCCTCAGCGACAATTGATTATGGATGATCCTGATCTTAAAGACTTCGAAGAATTGTCTAAACCGTGTAGATGCGTGTTCGTGCGGTATTAATGAGTTATACAAAGATATTCGGGTCTGCAGGTAACGGATGTAGGATCACGAGCCAGCTTATCAGCATTTAGCGAGAAGGTTCATATCCACGTCCGAAGCATGAGCACAGCAGCGGCACACGCGCCGGCGTGGGTCTTTCCGATGTTGGTCGCAAATGGTAACATGACCTGACCAGTGTGCTGGAGGCTAGGAGATGATTGCGCAAATGAAGGTGGTTTCCGTGATCACTTTGCGAAGGACCAACCTGCATCTCTATTGCTTAGCCACATCTGTGTGGGACGTGTCTTTCTACTATTGGTATTGGTATCTCATCAAGACGGTTGATTCTGCAGCAGGTCTCGTTGTCTGCATAGTAAGTAGCAGGACGGACATGCCTAGACTAGTTAGAGTAGCTTTCTGGGGGCCTTTTGACACGAGATATTGAACACGCTTCAAATACAGCTTCGTCTTTTTTTTTGTTTGCTTTCTTCTCCGTTGACTAGGTGTAGAATGCCTGATATGATTCCTATTAGCACCAGTCTAGAATGCGATGTCCTGGCTTGTTAGGGTCGAGGGTGCTAAGGTCGATATTGAAGGATCCTAGCAACTGTTTCCTGACCAAACGTGGGGGACCAAAAAGATTGCGGCCCTCGTAAACTAGCTTCTGTCTAATAGAATGTGTGGGGAGGGTGAATTTCGAGGGTGCTCAAAGTTCATATCTGGCTTGGGCGTGGGCGTTTGGCGTTCGGACAGACTGATGCTCCGCCCCGCCCCGCCAAAGTGTGGTCATGGAATTTTTACACCAAGTTGTTCCATATATGATTAGCGGAGGGGAAAAGTCTGCTGTCACCAGCTGAATGATTTTAGTAGCTTGTTCAAGCATCCAGACCAGACCTCATTCTACAGGCATTGGACATCAGGATGCAGAAACCCTCGCTTACCGCCTTCGTCCATTGCCCCATGTACCGTCTAATCTAGGCCCGCTAAACCGTTTGTGTTACCTCTGCCTTCTCAGGACCTGTGTAGAGCTCTTGCCCAAAAACCCAGTTTGATGGATAAAAATATCATAGAGGGTATCTGGGATACCCAATAAAGAATATCAGGGAATGCTAACAATATCTATCCGAGGATCTGCCGGGCTCTGCTTAGCCAATCAAGTCGTAAAGGCCACTGCCCAGGTCGTATCCAGTATGTCTGCGTAGCGGATTAGACTTACGCTGTCTCTCGAGACGATGCTATGATGGCTCTATAGTCTGGGGAGGTTCTTGAATCTTAATTTTGTGAAGCTTATTGTCCAAGATGAGCCATGTAAGATGAGATCTCTGAATCAGCCAAGATAGGGACGCATCTGGTAAATATATGCTGACATTGCGAAGGCTTTAGGACAAATTGTGGTTCCAGTTATTCAATGAAGCCCTCGATCGCACACGTAGGCAAAGCAGAGCGTGTCCCGCCATGCATTTAGACGGAACCAAAGAGGAGCATGACATTAGCTGTTGTAAAACATCGCCTGGCACTGGCGTCTAGACCTTAATTTTGATGCCCGTCCTATCCAGAAGCAATGCGACGCCAGTAACACACGCTGAATATCCCACTAAGACAGCCATTGCGCCCAATGAGGTCATGTCGAGAGTGTTCAAGCTAAGATTAACCAATCCGGTCATAAGATTTGCAACCAGGAAGACCGCAAGTCCGTTCTTGTTGAAAGCTTGCATGATTACGCTGGCCGACCTGGTGGCCACTGCAGAGGGCAGGGTTCTGTATGCCTCCGGAAAGTATACAGTCTCGATGAGACAGAAGAGCAGTAGCTGTGCGTTGTTGAATGCATTGATCCAAAGTACGTACGGAAGGTTCGCCAGACGCCTAGATACTCTTAGACCAAGCCCAAAATAAGCAGTGCTGAAGGCGAACAGAAGCGACCAACATGCTGATTGAATCACCAGCTTTTGGATCAGGGATTTCCGTGCTTTCCAAGCCAGCTCTTTCGCTGTTACTGGCTTCGTACCTTTTGACTGTTGCGCTCTAATTCCGGGTATGACCGTCATGCCGGTTCCTCTACCAGCAAGGAAGATGGAGAGATAACCAATGAAGGAGAAGACACCTTCTCGATTCTTGGAGAGCAAGTCAGGTCCACGTGGTGAGACGAGAATGTACTGTTTCAGAGTCGTGTTGGACAATACGATCTCATATACCAGCACGAACAGTACGGACAGCATCTCGTAGGAAGGTATAGCGTAGGTAGTGAGGACATCAGCAAGTTCGACAAATGGCGGCAAGAATGCTAGAGTGAAGAAAAAGTTCCAGTGCACACCATACTCTGTCACGTGTTCGGCGTAATCTAATTCTTTGACGGTATACAGACGAATGAGACCAAGAACAAGAAGGGGAATTGAATGCCGGATTGAAGACATTAAACGACTGACGAAGGAACTTGCTGGTCTCTTCGTTGCATCCAACCTGCTTTTCAGGATAGAGCGAGCAGAGACAACTCCGGCTGAGAAGACGAATGAGCCAACTCCAAGATCCATTAATGAAGTTCCCCAGTTTTCTACCTTGGCGAAACGCCTGGGAAACACTCGGAAGTCGACGGCTAGAATAGCGATACAGGTAACGACCATCATGGCACCTCGATAAGTGGTTAAAAAGCCCTGGACAGGCAACGCACTAGACGCCACCAGAGACGGGTTGGGTACATTGCCATTGGCCTTCGTGGAGGATACACTCGATTTTCTTGTTGCTGCCAGTGGCTTTGAGAAAGACGAGATAAGAGCAGCAGGAAGGATTAGAAGTAAACTGAGCAGCGCTGGCGCAGACGAGTATGCTGTCATGGAAAAGAGAATTGCTCCAACATTGAGCAAAAAGTCGGTGAAAAATGCAGCTGGCCCATACGGTGCAAAGAAGTTCCGTCGCGAGTGAAGGGCAGACCAGAGTAAAACAGCTGCCTGGAATGATCAGAAGAGTAGGCAGAAGATGCATAAGAACATACTGGAGCGACCAAAGTAACGCATGTAATTTCTGATAGCGAGCCTCCTGAAAGATTGGCTACAAAGTCTTCTTTTCGTAATTTGTACTCCAGATCCATCTTCGGTAAAAGTCTCTCTAAAACTAGTCTTTCGGTGGCGATGTGTGGTCGATTCTTTGGATCCTTTCACTTAGAAGAAGTCTTCAGCCTCCATTACCTCCTGTCACATTTTCCTCCGGCATGAGCATGTCCAGGATTGTACCCGCAACAAGTCTAACGTGTTCAAGTCGTGCGAACTACTAGGCTTAGTTTGCCGGGAAAAAAAAAACACTTGGCGCGGTTACTTAGGTAATCAAGCTCCTGAGGTACTTATGGATCTTCCGGGGCGTTGGCCGTTAAGATGGGAAACTCTGCTTCTGAGAACTGTCTTGAAGGGTACATATCATATCAGGCTGTCGTGCGTGTGTTGCTATGGAAACTCCTGTAATATTTCCAGCGGTTCCGAGAACCTGTAGCGGCACACCATGCTCAATGACGCTTACAATGTCAGAATGCGGCTAAACAACACCAAATGATCTCGTATTCATGCCACTGTACAGGGAGTGGATATACCCATGTCAGGATACCGAAGAGTATAAACAACAAGGGGCTCTCCGGATTGCCGATCAAACGGGTTGACAGCTCCTGTGTGATACTTTCAGAAGGCAGTTCTTGCCCGGGTCCAGCAAGAAGCGTAGAGGAAATAAACAGCGTGTACCAAGTTCCATCTGTGATACCCTAAGAGATCATGTCTGGACCACCAACGTCAGAATATGCTGGATATGTAGATCCAAACTTCCCAAGTCCTGGTGGTCCAGATGATGCATCGGTCATAATTTATGGGTATGTCCAGAGCAAAGCTTCAAACCGCCTTCTGCTAAACATCACGTTTCAATAGCTACCGACCTTCCCTCGCTCTTGGTATCCTCGGCGCCGTCCTATTCGGTCTGGCCTTCTTCGGCCACTCCTATCGTCTCTTCCAGTACCGAACATGGTATTTCACTCCCGTCATGCTCGGCACAGCTATGGAGGTGGTGGGCTATGCCTTCCGTCTTCTGTCTTCCCAGGTCAATCCGTACTCCGTCATAAACTTCGTTGTACAATACTTCTTCATCGTTATCGCGCCCGTCTTCTTCTCGGCTGCCATCTACACCGTTCTCACAGTTTTCATCAACCGAACAAAGCGCGAGTACGCACCGCTATCTCCGAAATTGATTCTTTGGATCTTCATTTCCTGTGATGTTGTGGCCACGATCACCCAGGTAGCTGGTGCCGCGTTGATCGGGGTTGCAGCGTCGAATGGCAAAGACCCGACCACACCAAACAATATCCTCCTGGCGGGGCTCGCCTTCCAAGTATTTTCATTCCTCGTCTTCTGCGTCTGTCTAGGTATTTGTCTGTATCGTGCTCGCAAGATTGTTCTGTCGTCTTTGAAAGCCTTCACCGCAGCATTATGCGCCGCTACTCTGCTCGTCTACCTCAGGACATGCTTCAGGCTCGCTGAGACAGCAGAGGGCCTAACCAGCGCTCTGGCCACCCATGAGGCCTATTTTGGAAGTCTGGAGTTCGCGCCAATTGTCATCGCCGTATTCATCCTTGCAATCTGGCATCCGGGAAAGTGGCTGCCACGCCATCAAGACTGGAACGAGAACATATGAACGGCGGGGGATTTGGACTTTAACAGCTAAAGGAAAGACGGTACTGAGCGTTGCATGAGTTATTGCACTTTTTGTCTGAATTGAGCTTAGTAGATGCAATGGCGATACTATCCGAATACCAGTCGCCTAGCTAATAAGCTTATTGCACTCTCCCCAAAATTTAGGACTGCTTCATTGCAATTGATCGGAAATCGTATCTGTTGATCTTCTCGTACATAACGTAGAGTACTCCGTATCGGCGGTTGGTAACGTCCCTGCTCCGGTAGCGCACAATGAGGTGTTGCTACCAATGAAACAAATCACAAGAGAGCGAAAATCTGCGTGATATTCACCCACACTGGGCGGTGCAGAGGGCTAGGGCGTTAGCATTGCAGGTTTTGGGATTGCGATCCAGAGCATAAGTAGCACAAACCGATAGTTGAAACGAACAATAGCTGCGGCTGTCGAAAGAGCTCCCTGCCAAGCATCGTTGTTCTGTGCAAGTAAACGATGTAGATTCATTCGCCTGCCCTACAACTCCTAGCGCAGTGACCAACATCGACCGGTGACAAACGTTCTCTTCTTCTTAGCCCTGCAACGGGCAAGGCATGCAGATCTTCAAGCATGAAAAGGGCATTGTCCAGGATAGACAGCTTACTCATGAAGATGTGGATGTAATCATTTTTTCAGGAGCCACTCTCTCGCATCAAAGCCTCTTATTCCAGCCGATCGTTTCTGTTCAGCGCTTGAGCTCACGTGTGTAGCTTGGTAGGCCCTTGCACGACTGCTATTCTCCGATATCAGTTTTTGTTTGATCTTGAGAAACGCTTCCTCAGGAGCATCAAGCTGAGGCCCACTGTGTGTTGGATCTGTGTCGAGAGATGTGTCTTTCCGGACGTGGTCGGGTTGTACTTCCCTTCTAGGATCGGAATAGACAATTTTATTGGTATCTGGCTTAGGAGGGGCTGTAAATGATGCCTCTACCTTTACGATCTTTCGTGCCTCAGGTATTCTTGTGACCGACCTCAGATTACCGAAGGTTAGTACATCATTGATTCGCTGCTTTCCTGTCAACAACATGACCAGACGATCAATGCCACATCCCCATCCACCCGTTGGGGGAAGACCCCACTCCAATGCTTGAAGATAGTCTTCATCTACTTCCATAGCTTCGTTGTCTTGTCTTCCATCATTGCCAGCATTTGCATATCTCTGTTGCATCATGAATTTTCGTCTCTGTTCAAATGGTGAGTTTTCCTCTTCGTAACAATTGACAATCTCACGACCGTGGATAAAAAGCTCAGCTCGAGCCGCCACTGGCTGATCAATGTCTGGGGAAGGATGAGGAAAAGATTTACTCAGTGGCGAAAGACATTCGGGATGGTTAATAATCCAGGTTGGTTTGTGGCATTGTGGCTCTAGGTATGTTGTAGATAGTTTATCTAGGAGACGTGGAAGCGTGGGGTAAGCTGGTAGCTCGATCTTCATTTCTTTGAAAATATTAATGACCTCCGCTGTAGCATGCTCAGCACACAGATCTGGAAGCTTTAGACCAAGAGCTTCGTTCAATCCAAGGAGGAAGTCAATTTGTGGATATGGTCCTTTGAAGAAATCGGCCTTGAGTGCAAGTGGAGGCATTTTTATGCTTGGATGTCGATTGGACTCGTCTTCCTTCTGTGGGGCACCCTCGATGTTCCTCACGATAAGGTTAAGCATCTTTTCCGTGATATCACATAGAGTCTGGATAGAGGCATAGGCACTATAGAATTCACAAGTTGTAAATTCTGGATTGTGTGTTTTGTCAAGGCCTGCGAAAGCGTTAATTTACGCCAGATCAGCATTCAGTTCCGGCTCACCTTCGTTTCGGAAGCATTGGCCAATTTCGAATATTCTATCCATACCGCCCAGTATAAGTCTCTTGAGCCACAGCTCTGGGGCGACCCGCAGGGACAATTTTCTCTCCGAGAACTCAGTGGCAAATGTTTCGAAGGAACGTGCGATGGCTCCACCAGCTCTGGAGGAGAGGATGGGTGTCTGAACTTCAGAGTAACCCCGAGCACGGAGAAAAGTGCGCATTCCATGCACAACATCGGATCGCCGTCGAATTAGTTGTGTGGCTTCCCGGTTCGCTAACATTTCAACATGCTTGTCGAGAAATGTCGACTGGCTTTCTGGGCCAAACCCCCCAGCCGGTCTCTGCACCGGAAACTGATGGAGACAAGGTGACAGAATGCAGGGAAGCTCTATTGCACTCAAAGACAGTTGACCTGCTTCCGTACGGTGCGGATAGCCCGTTACGGCTTCCCGGACGATAATGTTAGTCTACAAAGTGAAAAGACATGCAATCCTTGAGGGAAGACTAACTTATGACGTCTCCACGGCGTAACAGTTTACGCCTCGAGATGAACTCGTCCTGCGTGATAGATTTATGTATTTGCGCATGGTTGACAAGAACTTGCAGCTTCAGGTCGTTGCGGACCATGTCGACAAAGAATAGCAGGCGGCCAGCCGTGCGGACTGATTCGATCCGTCCTGTTGGATCTTAGCTACTTGTGGGTCCTTTGGTTGAGCTGATTCCGCGTACCTTGGTATGAATACTTCCCCATGTCCTTCTTCGTCTCGCCTTTTTTGACGGTTTGACACAACCGATCAAGTTTTGGGATAGGAGGTGCTGTATGCTCGGGCCCTCGAGGATACATGTCAAGTTCGGCCTTTTGAAGGTCCTTTACCCGATCCTTGATATCTTCTGCAACCCATAGCTCCTGGGGCCATTCCGGGTAGCTTTGGGCAGCTATAAAGCGACAACCTGGGGTCCGATGGGAGTTTAAACGAACGTTGGACGAAAAGGAAGGGCCTGATGGAGAAAGGCGGATAATACTGGAGTGTGATCAGTATTACATGTTGTTGAGGTAGAATTACACAACGTTCCAAGCAGAGATGGTATTCCAGACAGTGGAAGTGATCATTTGCTTGCTGAGCAAGCTTCACTCGCTGCGGTTCTTCTCATCTTCTCTTCCTGCAATGTAGATTTCAAACAGCAGAACGGTTTTCTGACGTACCTCTTCACAACAGGCAGGTATCTGAGTCGCCATGATTGCCATGACAGTAATGCTTGCATCTGTATTTGGACCCTCAACGAGGTGTCCGTGCTGAATGATGCGGAGCCAGAAATTGTTCTTCAGGAGCTGATGCAGGGACCGGAGCGACCTCCGCTCCGAGGTACAGTAACAACCTCGCAACGGTGGAGCTCAATCCTAAAAGGTTACTTAAATCATAGGAGCTCCGGTTCTATATACAATACTTGCCAACCCTTCCAAGATTGACCCCCAATCTACCTAAAGTTCTACCACCATGTCATTCCTGTTCGGCGGCAAGCCGCAGCTCTCGTCAGCGGAGAAAATTGATGCCGCCTTAACTGAGGTTGAGATGGTTTCCGATATGTTCAATAGGTAATGCAGCATAGAGCCCTACTTTGGCATGATGAAATTGACTCCCTGCCCAGATTATCACAATCTTGTCTCAAAAAATGCATACCTGCGGACTACCGAGAAGGCGATCTGAACAAAGGGGAATCAGTGTGCCTGGATCGCTGTGTAGCGAAATTCTTCGAGGTCAATGTCAAAGTCAGCGAGAAGATGCAAGGAGAAGCAGCCATGAGGCAGGGAGGAGCAGCTGGTGCTGGGGGAATGTTTGGGATGTGAGAAGTCAGAGACGCATTAACCTTCCGTCTACGGGTCAACATTATGCAGATGCCTTGAACGAGTGAAGGTGTCACCTTACCACATGTCGCCGAGGCCTTAAACCTCTCAAAGTTGTGCTGGAAGGACAGATTCTGGAAGAGAGAGGGCATATTTAAATGTATAAATCACTAAAGCTCAACGCTTGTGCAGTGTTGGCAATGACGATGCCCTAGCTGTTGCAGCTCAGGACTCGCGATTCTTGAAGTATCCTAGCAGGATTAGCCACCAAGGATCCTTATGTGTACCATCACTAACAAGCTCATCAACACGAGCTTCAATATGGGAAACCGCCCTGTCAAACTCTGCCACCCCGTCTTCAACCTCTTCGATCCTTGAGGTCAAAGCATCCACTTCATAGTCCAGCTTTGCTCCAAGCATTTCCACCCGCCTGAGGCCCTCGTTTAGCCCCTGACGCTCATCTGCCATGATGTCAGTCGATGTCGCCTTCTGAGTCTGATGGTCTTCTAATCGCTCGTAATAGAATGTATTGAGCTCGTCTTGCCTTTTCTGTGTTAGCTGATCAAGATCGTCGACATCCGAGATCTGCCTTTCAGTGAAAGGTATAGTGACTTGTTGAAGGTAATAGATCTTGTCAGCTTTCTCGCGGACAAAGACTGCATGTGCCTGTTCTCCAAGTAGCGTCTGCTGTGGCTCTTGACCCTTAGCAGTGTCGCTCTCAAATTCAGTGTCAACACCATCCCACTGAAGTACCACACTTTCAATTGCACTGAATGACAAGCACCGAGGAACTCGGTTTACACGAGGACTTTCTGGTCCAAAAGCAATAAACTTTACCAAGCTTTGCGTTCTTCTCAAGCTCGTGGCCTGGGGACCAGAAACTTGAAGCTCTTGGAAGGAGCGGTTATAGTTATCAGACGAGAGCTCTCGCCTTAGTTCCTCAAATTCACCGCCTCGATTTTGCTCAACAAGATCTATGCTAGACGCAAGTATTACGGGGTTCGGTTCGGAATCTTCTGAGGCGTGCGGGAGTGACGCGCTCTCGCTACGAAGACTGATCTGCGACATGTTGTGATCAAGCCGTGAGACGTGGTTTGGATCAGGCACTTCAAGGGCGGCTTTCTGAGGTGGTGTTGAAGCTTCTTTAACATGTGTCCCTGACGACGGGCTGCTTGAAACCTGTTCAGGGTCACGCTCATCCCAGTCATGACGAGTATCTTGTATATGTCCAGCATGTGACCGAGCCTCCTCTTTTGATTGTCTTGGTTGATGAGATCGCAGGCCAGGAAGACTAACAGCATCTTTAAGGCGCTCCAAACCAGTCTTGTTCTCCACATCATCGACGTTATTCGTTCTTTGAAGATGGTTATCTGTCCAGACTGACTCCCGATGTTTGCTAGTCCAGATGTAGTTGCCCTGATCGTCTTCGCTGAAGATCTTGTCGTTGCTAGACGAACCAAAATGTCCAAGCGTCTCGGGCTCGTTGGACTTCGCAGCTTTCCCCTGCCAAAGCCACCGAGCCTTCGTTCCGGTGACGAGTTGTGCAAGTCTCTCGATGTCCAGTGTTTCAACGTCAGCGATGCCTGCTTTTTCTCGACCTCCTACGATGCCCATCACCATTTCTCCTCCTTTTCCACTAAGCTCAGCTACAGTGGATTTCACAGCCTTCGGGACAGTCCAGCCCTCTCCACTAGCTGTCTTCGCAGTCACTTTGTGAAGCCTCATAAGTGTCTGACGATCGAGACGACGGGTTCGCTCCATTCTCTGTGACTTCTGGAAGTAGCCAATCGCTCGTTTTGTAGATGTGATGTCGAAGACATCCTTCCCAACAGGAGCACCGAAGGCCTTCATGCGGTTGAAGGCACCCATCAACAAGCCTACTAGCGCAGAAACTGTGGAGGGCCCAAGTATGCCGTCACTGGGCTCAATGTTGTATAGGTATGTACCGATATCAGACCACCAGTCGTTGATGGAACGTTCGGTGATGTCGCACAGGAGGCCGTCAGCATAAGCAGGGGCAAGCTTACCATACAGTGACAGCGACACCTGACAGAGTTTGACCAGTTCCATGACGGAGGTGTAAACGGGGACATTTTCGCTTGTCCGGTATAGGTGATGGAATTTTGCAGTTGTGCTTGGCTGAGGGTGCTGCAGATTCAGCCCAGCGCGACCTGCACACCCCAGACGCTTGAGGTTCTCATTAACAATAAAATCCTCCCTGTGCTTTCGAACATCCCCATCAGGTACAGCAATGACACTAAGCGAAGATGGAAACCCACTCAGATTGGTAACCATAAGAGTCCCAAGTGGGGTGTCTCTTTCTCGAGCATGATATTCAGACATCGCTTTGAAATACACCTTCAACCGGGGAGACCAGGTGTTTTCATCCTTCGGAACACTCAACACCCCAACCAAGATGAAGTGTGACGAGTCCCCAGTGTAAGTAGCAATAATGGAGGTGGGATGAACGCGAGAGCACGCCCATTGCTCCACAATATAAATCTCGTAGCCCTGCAGTCTCCGACGTCGTTCCAGAACATTTGTGGCAGAATCTTCTTCAAGATATCTGAATGCGACTGGATCAGAGAAGACAAGTCGTTTCCGGCCATGCTGTGACAAAGTTGTGTTCGAAATGATCGATGGTGAACTCGAAGCCGGCACGATCACATGGTCCCTCACTTGTGATGGATGTTCGTTGCTCGATCGACCAATTGGATCCTCGTAAGTTGACATGTTGTGTAGTCTGTCCAGCTGCTGATACTGGACCAGATTGATTGAGTTTAGTTTGATCCTCTGCTAGGAGACATCGTGCTCCTTCGTCACCACGTGGAATTAGCAGGCCGATGCACTAGTTAGTGGTACCATGCGAATATCGGTCGATGCAAATCGAAGCTCAGGCACCTTTGCACAGCTAAGAAAGGCATCTCATTTGTAGACTGGCTATACCGGAGTTGATTTTCTCTGCTTTTCTCCACTGCTGAAGTGAGCATCACCAGATTTCCTGACCCTGTGACGCCAAAGGGATCAGGCTGGGTGCCTTGGTAGATGAGAAACAGTAACTAGGGGTATTCATCTTTGCCGAAGAGACTCCGGCATCTGGTGTCATGCCTCTCACAAATGCTGCAGTACTACGTAAGATGACATCTTCACAAGACTCTTCTGACTACTTCTTTCAACACCTTACTGTGATTGAAACACTCTAGGGGCTTGATGTATGGCATACAAGAACTACGAATGTGGTAAAAGAGGAGTTTCAAGTGGCGCGAGCAGAAGCTACAGTAAAGCTCTTTGACATCTGCTGATTTCACTCCCGTCTACTTCTGCTTTTCAAGGATGGATGCTGTACAGAAAGAACATGACCGCCTTTGGAAGCGAAGCAAGTCTTCAAACACGCTAGACAGTGCCCAACAGATTATCGACGCTCTCCAACATGCTCGAGATGCTATTGCTGCTGAACCGACATCTGCATCCGTCTCCCTTGCGAAGCTACACAATCCAGTCAAAGGCTCTTTTGAAGCAATCAACGCTAGCTTGAAGGAAGTTTACGGAGGGCACAACAAGTACACCAAGGTCTTGGACAGGCTATTTAAGGATAAACCGCTACCCAGCAATGAGATCGACGCACTTTCTCCCCACCCTGCGTTGGTCCACCGCGCGATCTATCTACATCTTCTCCGAGAGGGACTTTTCGATGTAGCGACAACTCTCCATGCAGAGTCCACCGCTATATCGAGTATGTTAGAGGAGAAGGCGGGGCCGGGAGCTAGAGACGAGTCAACTGCCGCTCCGCTAGGGATTGATGAAACGGAATCCAACAGGATGCAAGAGCAGTTCACATCAATGTATCATATCTTATACGAACTTCGGGAAAATCACAACCTCCGACCAGCAATATCATGGGCGCGGGACCACACAAAGGCCTTGGAAATTCGGGGCAGCAACCTCGAGTTCGAGCTCTGCAGACTTCAATACGTCAAGCTGTTTTTGGCGGAAATTGAAGATGCAAGCGAACAGGAGTCTGCTACTGGTCCACAGCGTGCACTACAATATGCACGGGAAGAATTTCAAGCTTTCAGTGGTCGCTATCTGTTAGAATTAAGGCAACTTGCTGGTGCCATGGCATTTTGTCCCAACCTCGAGGAGTCCCCCTACCAAAGCATATTTGACAACCATACAGCATGGGACGAGGTTGTGGCATCATTCACACGAGAGTTCTGTGCATTGATGGAGCTTTCTGCAGATTCACCGCTTTACATTGCAGCTACGGCTGGTGCTATTGCCTTGCCAACGCTATTGAAGCTTCAGAACATCATGCAGCAGAAGAGGACCGAATGGACCACTGAAAATGAACTGCCAGTCGAAATCCCTCTTCCTCCATCTTACCAGTTCCACTCGATATTTGTCTGCCCAGTGTCGAAGGAACAGACCACCGATCAGAATCCGCCCATGATGATGCCATGCGGACATGTCATTGCTCAGGAATCTTTACACCGGTTGAGCAAAGGAGGGAAGTTCAAATGCCCTTACTGTCCAGGCGAAAGTCATCCGCGGGATGCAAAGAAGGTCTTTCTGTGAGGGCATCCGGTCCTCGGAAAGCCAAGCAAGAACAAGAGTTTCTTCTTCAAGTACATGACGAGGCCGCTGTTCTCGAGCTAAATCAATCTTTAAAGGGTTACTCCACTTGCTCGGTGCCTCATCAGCAAGTCTTGATGATGCTGGAGCACATTCCCCACGATTGATTTCTATGACCTTTGCTCCTGCTCAGGTTGGCAGCGACCTTGGGTTTCACGCAGAACATGTTTCCCGACCGATGACTTGGAAGCCGGTCAGCCACGAGTAGTGTGATACTTGACGGTCCTTGAGACGATTGACAGAGGAAACGGGTGAAAGGAGGTGGCAATGATGGAAATGTTGGAAGGACGAAATTGCAACCGATACGTCAAAACAGTAGATCAAGGTTAACGGGGACTTGATCCGGGAGAGATAGCTGGGTAGAAATAGGTTTAATCCCAGAACCAAGATTAGTACAGAGTATACTCTGTACTTGTACTCGAAAGCGGAGTAGATCGAGGTATAGAGAATATTTCAGGATGCTAGTAAAACTCACTTGATCCAGGCACTGGATGGTGGAACGAATGAGAAGTCCAGAAGCTCATCAGGAGATTTTCCACATGTTTTGTTAGCTTCTATGAACCTGCCGATCTTTCCTTTCGTCCCTTTTCTCCACTCTTGTCCGTAGACATGGCGTTTTCCCCACCCCCTAACCTCGACCATCTCACATTTCACGTCAAGCAACTGCTTCAAGAGCTAGTAACTCAGGCAGAACCACAACAGACAAAACATGCATGTCTGCGTTGGTCGATGCAGTACTTCTGCAAGATGGCGGCCACCCATGTTTGCTTGGTCGTTGGCCACGCAAGGAACTGGGAACCTACTTCACAGTCACCGCTTGGGGATGTAACTAGACTAACATCCGGTGGGTCTAAGGCTAAGCCTTCCCATCCTCCGCGCAGGTGAACCCTGCATTCGAGTCGTTTGAGTCACCGTTAGCCGTTTGTCGAGGTTCCACAAACTGGAAGTGGTTGCAGGTGACTAGCCTGGTACATGCTGAGTGGCTGATTTAGTGCTCTGTTCAGATCCCGTGACAGCGCGAATTCGTATCTAGGGGAGAGACGCGGCTTGAACTTACAAGGCAAAATTTACGCGTTAGGCATCGAAGCTGATGTTGATGAGCATAGTCCAAGGCAACGATGCATCCCAGCTATAAAAGGTCCTCTCCTCCCATCGGAACCATCTCATCTCCTTTTCCTTTGCTTGCCCCTACTGATTCTGCGGATGGTATAGGATTCCTGAGGCAGGCTTTTCATTCTTTCATTCTTTTCTCATCTCAATGTGAAGCATCTCCTGGAACAGTTTTTCCAGGGTACTGACCACCAGCATTGAGAAATGTTTGTCCGAAATAAGCCTCGTCAAGGTGAAAGCTTCTCGTCCAGGTATGGTGCTGGCAAATCTGTCAGTAAATCCAAGAAGCATTCATTCCGAGACCATTCTGTGGCTGCGGGCGTGAAGAGAGCCGAGTCCTCTGCTCAACCGTCACCAAGGAAAGACCAATCCAGTGATCCCACTTCACCGTAAGTCACAAACCCAAGCCTCTCTCTGCGACAACACTCGGGACTGGTGGCTGACATGCATCGCTAGCAACCTTACCTCTGCCATCATCACACTTGTGGTTGGACCTGATCAACGACTCTTCGCCGCTCATGAAGACGTGCTCTGCAACTCTTCCTTCTTTCAAGCTGCCTGTCGAGGCCAATTTCTCGAATCACATGCCAGAAGAATAAATCTACCGGAAGAATCACCGGAAATCCTGTCTTCGGTGCTCGAGTTCCTGTATAAAGGAGACTACTATCCGAAACTTTTGCACAATAAACGCAAGGACACGTGGGAGCTTGAAGATCGGAGTGCAAATGGCAATAACGAGTCGACCATCTATCATCACGCTGTTGGAGGAAACTTGTTGAAGGATACTGTCATATAGTAGGTTCATCCTGTCAGTCCGCTTTGATGGTGTCGGACAAACTGTTGTACTCCTACTCCTTCAGCCCATCGTTGAATCACAGTATGCATCATGCTGACCCCATATCTAGCTGTGCAGCCCTTCGCTACGATCTCCCTGAGCTCGGCCGCCTCGCCCTTCGCAAACAAGGCCTCCAGTCCGGCATCCAAGTCAGCACTATTCTCTCTTCCGCTCGCTACGCCTACGCACAAACACCCGACACAGACTCAAAGCTGCGAGCTCACTACTTGGCTCTCATCATCCGAAGCAAGAATACTTTCAAGAGGAGTGGCACCATGCAGATGGAGATGGAAGAAGGTGGACGACTGTTCTTCGATCTGTTTGTTGCTATGTGCAATCATATCGTACGTCTCCACAACCAAATTTGTCAAGACATGGTCAGCTGACATTGGATAGGATGACCTTGGCACTATCTCACGGTCGCCCTTCACTCGCTAGGAAGAAAGCCTTCCATTACCCACGCCAACATTAATACCAGCTCATTGACTTAGTTAAACATGCACTAAGCCCAACTCAGTCCTTACCGTAACGACAACAAAGCCATTCTAGGCTACAGCAATCCTCTCCAGGGCCGTCGTTAACGACTCCCAACACAAACGTCAACCCACTTCTTCCCAAGATATAACAACCTCTCATCATGACTCAATAAAAAGACACATTGTATATTTAACTCATCTCCATCAGATTTCTGTCTCTTTATCATGTCCATCAGGCTGCCTTCCTCACCCTAGCGTTCTTTTAACTCAAGGAGGATGGACATTTGTACTATTAACACGTCATTTATTTATACCCTGCCTCCTGCCTAAAACTGGACAGGTTCCCGGCACAGGTTGACCGATTGCTCGGTGGACTGCTTGATCAGTCGATCAATCATTTATTGCTTTCTATTCTAACCGTCGGAGTCTGTTTGAGACTTTCGAGCCGGAGCCATTTGTCTATGGGCTTTTACTTTTCACGAAGCTGGCACGAGTGGAAATGGATAGCTGGAAAAAATATCTCATCTATATCGAAGGATTAAGGAGGGGAGAAATTTGGTCTCTGTGGTGATGCGGGCCATCGACTATCATGTTTTTTAGATGAACAACGAGATTTAAAAAAAAGGAGTATTTATCTTCGACTATTAATTCCTCTCTTCTGGATGCTACAAGCACTTTGAGTGCCTTTTGCACCTTCCTTGCATGTTGCGTGCTATGCCAGCTAGCGGATCAAGATGCATAATATCATGAACTTCAACTTTGGCTTCGGCAAGGGAGCCTGGATGCAGACCACGGCTTGACTTTCACGGACAGGCAGTAACTTCGGTAGCTTGCATATATCATGGTTGGGGCACCAGTGACAGATTTTGTGGCTGTCTTGGCTCTCCAAGACCTTGCCAGAGGAGCGCTGCGGAATCTGTCAGTGCGCCTCGGGCCAGGTGTGCTAAAAGGTCGGATCGACAGAAATGGTGGGGGGCTAAAGTCATGGGCAACGGCAATCAAAACCTCCTTAGCGAGGTGGCAGGCATGTGCTGCAATGGTGGAAGACCCTGATAATCAGGGAGGGAATTCGCGGTGGACTGATTGACAGCATGTTCCTTATAGCTGCATGATTGTTCGTCCCATACTGCATTTAATGGTGATTCGTGGGCTGGGCCGGAGATGATATGATATGATCTCGCTTTTGTCCAAGTGCCGAGCTTTCTTTTGAGCTTGGGCCTGACTGATATCAAACCACTCATGATGTGAGTCACCAAGAAAGTGTTGGCAAAATAGGCCGTTTGCAGCGACCGCCCACCCGCAGAGTTTGGTCTGGACATGAAGTTCTTTTGGCACTAGTAAAAATTATGTTGGATGTACCGGGATAATGGTATGGCAGTTCCCGGGGCAACAGCTGCATCTGCGTGAATGAGATGTAACCTGCCGAAAGGGATGTCGCATTGCGTCCAATCGGAGGGCCTAATGTTGATGCAGGCTGTAAATAGGCAGCCAGGGGTTCTGATGTTGACTTGTCAAGGGTTCTAAGCTGCCAAGGTGGGTATATCGGCTCTTCGAACTTGATCAGAGACAGCACTAGTATTTGGAAACGTACGTAGTAGGTTGATCGGGTGAAGGGATAAGTTCAGACGCCAGTACCGGGGAAGGCACCACCCTTGCTGAGGACTACGACGCCACGATCACGGGCGATGTATCCTTTCATCAAGTTCTGAAGGATCACATGTAAGGGTTAGCTGAACGGAGCCGCACCGTAAAGTCTAGAACGACAGGCTGCCTGGTAATTTAGGCAGACAGACCACATCAAAATGCAAACTCACTTTGTAAATCAGGTTTGCGAGGAAGCATTCCACTTCATCAATGTCGACTCTGGCTGCGCCATCAATCTTGCTCCCGAGTCGGATAGCAGCAGCGAACTCCGCGACAGGGACTCTTGTCCGCCGAATGGGTGCCTGACCATCTTTCGCCTCTTCGAAGCCACCGGCCAGAAAGACTAGGCGGAAGAGGTTGCGCAGCGCGATGTCGCGGCCACGTTCAAGAGTAAGGTAAATGCGTCGCTTGACGAACTCGTGCTCGCCTGCTGACATGGCTGCATCGAAGCCTGATAGATCGCCGCGCTTAATGCAAGAACAGAGGGGGCGGAAGAGAGCCTCGAGACGAGGATATGGTGCCAAGAGATGGGTTGTTGGAAGGGTGTGAGTAGTTAGAAGGTGACAGGGAATGAGATAGCTGAGGATGAGCCTGTAAATGTTGTCAGTAGTTCTGCTGGTGGGACATATGCAGTGCACCCACTCTCGATTATTCTGGGCGTCCCGATGGCATAAGCGCCACGCTTCAGTCAGATATTCTTCTGCCTAGAAGGCAACCAGCACGGGTGAGACACACAGTTGAGAAAGTGCGTCTCGAGTGACTCACCTCTGTGTAGCTCTCTTCGAGAAAAGCAATCACTCCTCGATAGTACTTGAAGGTCACGACGTGTGACTTCGGAAAAAGTTTGAGTGGAGGGATGTCATCTCCTGACGCTTGCAAGGCACGCAGGACGTTCTTCGAGAGACCTATAGAGTTCAACTGGGGACTGTTAGCAGAGCCCATAAGGTGAACTGCCACACACCTACTCTAAAATAGGTCTTGAATAATAGATTGGTTGTACTGTAAATTCCCCACTTTCGTGACTGCGTGATCTCTGATCTGGACTGCGTCAACAACACCACAGAGCGAGCTTCGCTCTGGTCAACCGTCAGTCGAATGCGGTGTCTTACCTATCACTAAGACAGGTGGTGAACATTCGATTAATGACCCAGGCTGCTTGCTCCAGCTTTTCGTTCTTCCCAAAGTTACCCATAATGTCGTCCGAGAAACCATTGCCAAAAGAGTCCTCATTCTGCGACCTGGTCTCGACATCTGCTTTTATTGCGAAGGCTCTCAGGTATTTGCCAGTCGTGTATAAACACGGTACAGTCCAAGCTTGAAAGCCGTTAGAGTATCCTCGGATGAGCAAATTTGTAAGTTCTTTATATGCATCGAAGACCCGGCTCCAGCCTGCTTGGTGGAGAGAGTCTTCAATTGCATAGAGCTCCTTAACGGTGGTCCACAATGCCACGAAAATGTCAATCCACGCATTGGCCTCATTCTTAGGAGGCCGGTAAGAGCTTTCGGGTGATTGAAAGAGATGATAGCGAACGTCGGCTGAGACAGTGGAGTAATTTGACAATTGTGCAAAGGAGCGTAAACGACGCGAGTCTGGAAAAGTTTCTACTGGTATGAGACACGACGCGAGTAAATGCCCAGAGCCAACGCGCTGAGCTTCATGAAAGTCCGCAAACAGTAGGGCCATAGCCTCGCTTGAGACGCTGTTTCATGGAAGAGTATGAGCATGTCCAGGCATTTGAGATCTGTTAGGTTTCGACCTGAGAGTCTTCCAAATTATTGTGGGTGAAATGGATCTCAATTACCAGCAAGACACAGAGAACCCGAAAGAGGTTAGCTGCATATCTGAAAGCGAAGCTAGGGCATAACCCTATATCTTCCCGCATCAAATCAAATTTTGGTCAGACAGTAAAGGACGACTATCTTCAGGCTACGTCAAATAATTGTTCAAGGTGAGCTCAGTCCGTCAACAAAAAGCTCTACATCACTAAATCTGGTACAGATGGGTAAGTCGACTCTACTTCACATCTCTCTGCCTCTGCACGCGACTACCGGGGTACCACCTGTGGTGAACGCGAGGTGGCCTACGAAGCCAATTCAGAAGCTTTTCACAAGACGATCAAAATAGTATAGCACACTGGAGAGGCATTGCAGGCGCTGGAGCACGACATATTATCCTATGAGCACGCTCTTAGAAAATACTGCATCCATATTCGACGGACGACAACATCCCAAGTCATCGGATAGTTTTGCTCGCGCTTCTGATGGTCGACTTGAATTGCTAGACTCTGAAGCTGACATATGGTCCTCAGGGCGCCTTACGGAGTACCAGGTCATCGGCCGCCATTTGCCTACTGAGACGAACCCTACACCCAAGCTCTACCGCATGCGTATCTTCGCACCTAACACCGTTGTCGCAAAGTCACGATTCTGGTATTTCTTGATGAAGTTACGGAAAGTCAAGAAGTCGAACGGTGAAATCGTCAGCCTGAATGTCGTACGTGGCGAGAATATCAAACTGCCCGCTAATTGTTCAGCTAACACGATTGTGTGCCCCATAGATTCATGAAAAGCGACCAATGAAAGTCAAGAACTTTGGCATCTGGATTCGATACGATTCTCGCTCCGGCACTCACAACATGTACAAGGAATACCGAGAGATGTCGAGAACCGATGCGGTGGAGGCTTTGTACCAAGATATGGCAGCTCGACATCGTGCTAGGTTCAGGTCTATCCACATCCTCAGAGTCGTCGAGCTCGAGAATGCCGACCAAGTCAAACGACCCTACATTAAACAGCTTATCTCAAAAAACCTCAAATTCCCTCTTCCGCATCGTGTACCAAAGAGCTCGAAGAAGATCTTTGCGGTTAGGAGACCAGCAACATTTGCTTAGCGGAGGTTGGCTCGACTGGGGTTGCGGAAACGAGGGGAGATGGTGTGGCATGAGGACGTCTGTTTCTGGTGCAAGAACTGAAGAACAGCGAGCATGTTCAACCATTATGAGTCGTGGACCACAGGCATCCAATACCAAAATGTTGCAAAATCTGTTCCTGATCTCGATCGAGAGATCCTACCAATCCGTCAATGTTTCTGGTGTCGCTAATCAACAGGGTTTAACAATACGATTCTATTTCTTCAACATTGTTTCCCTACTGTCTTACCTCAATATCACCTCACCAAGAGCCATATCTGATCTAACATGATGCAAACCGCCTGTAAAGTATGACGTGTCATGAGCTTCATCTTGTCCCGCCTTGTCATTCTTCTCTACAAATACCCACCACTTTTCACCGTCACTTTACTAATTGTTCTGCCCATCGATCAGCAGCCATCCGCGCGCACAATGGTGCCGTCCCAAGATCCTACATTAATGACCTGTCTCTCGGCTCCGCCATCCCTGCTACATGCACAGAATCTGTCTCTTATTGCAACCTCCTCTACGCTGTTTCAACTTCGTTCTGTCATGCCATCTTGTATCACCGTTACACTGGTGTGAAATCTTGATGCAGTGCACCTGTGATGCTGTGCACCACACATCGGGCCCCACCAGCCCGAGCTTCAGGAGCTGTGTAACGTGTCATCGATGAACAGGTCGCTAAGATGAGGCTATCGCTACTTCATGACATGACACGTGTTCCCTGGTAGTACTGGGCACGGCCGTGCCAGCTGCGGCCGTGAAGGATCGGTGGTGGCGTAGCTGTTCTAAAGATTCTACCTCGATCCGTCGTGGTGTTTCTTCTGGCTTGCAGGACAGTTCAAGCTAAAAGGGCATTAGTGACTTATGATAGTTCAGACCGAGAGAGTGGAGGGCGGAAGGAGGGAGCCAGTTATGCACGCAGAGGGCGTGGAGGGAGAGAAAAGTTGGTAGGCTTTGAGACATGATTCGGGCATTAAGTCAACCATATAGGTCATGCTGGCATGGGCATCGATTCACTCGGTAGCTAAAATTTGCAGGTCAGCTCAGCTTGAAGGGTATTTCTTGCCAGTGCTACTCCTCCGGCTGGGCTTTTAGAAAGCAAGAAAGCAAGAAAGCAAGAAAGCAAGAAATCAAAGGACGAGAAACGTGTTTTGATACATGAGCTGTCTTCCTATTCTCACCTCCATCACTACATCATGACCAATCCGAATCTTTGCAAATCTGCGCTCTGTGTGCTGAACTATGAAAAAATGGAAACGAAAGGCAAAATTTCGCCTCTAAATTCACAGACGTATGCCAAATCCAGGAAGCAATCAAGAACACGCCAATATAATTCTGACCTCGCATCTTCGGGAAACTCCCCAAGCCCGTACATAACACATCTGCTGTATTGCTAAGCTGCCGTCAACAAACGTATGCCACATGTATGTGGGGATAGATTTGCCTGGCCCAAAGATCTCCGTTCTTGTTCGGCTTTGGCCATTGCACTGAGGGTTGGTGATAACACGCAGAAACGGCTTCCATCATTCATACAATGCTCGCCGCCGCTTCGAAACTCGTTGTCTAGATTTCTGTATCGCGAGTAGAAGGAGAAGCTTGAAAAGGGTTGTCAAATGAATGTGGCCGTTAAAAATTGCTGAGAACTTTTTACATCAAGCATGGAAGGTGGTTGGTCCTGACTTCGTTAGTATGAGAACTAAGGCGTGGATGGATACATCGCATGACGTTGAGGACGGGAAATATCGTGGTCAACGGCTTGATACGCGTGCTGCATCTGCAATGTCTGTGCAGATATGAGGTCGGAAATTTCGTCCGGTGTCATCGCTCAAGCGAATGAGAGGCTTAAACATCTTGGCAGGTCGAGATTTACGCAGGATTGCCTCGAGCCGCTTCTGGCTTTGCTTTTGGAAGAGACAGGCTCAAATATGATCTACTTGGCATGAGTCGTAAAGCCTTGTAGCAAGGCGACCTTTTGCTGCTTTTACCTCTACAGGCCTCACGGTGCAAGGTGAGGCCTGGATAGTGTCATCGCTCACTCCTCAACGAATCTCTAGTCTTCTCGTGCTCCTCAGGAGCGCGACCGGACCAAATGTGAAGAACGTGGTATGTATGAAATTTGACCTCGGCGAAGTCCCTCTCGACTTCCTTTATGTATCTCCACACATGCTCGACCGGCCAATTGAAGGTCCGATGTAGGGGCGCGAGACTGATGGCTTCAATACCATGGCCACCACGATCATTATTGAGTTCGCCTATCATGGACAAGTAGTACCATGCTCCGATCTCCTTCTCATGTGGATCTGTTGGCCAAGTATTCAATGGAATGCGTATCGCTTCGTGCCGGATATCTTTGAAGCCAGCTGCGGTCAGCAGGCGGTGTGTCTCACCATCCCCTTTGTACTCTATGGGACGTCCGATATTAAAGGTCGCCTCAGCGATATAATTGTACCATTCGACCAACCGTGAATTCGGACTCAGGGTGCCATCGTCGCATCGCGGCCTCAGGTCTATCTCGACCTGCTCAAACCAACCCGTTCCAGGTCGTAAATGCTTCATGACTTTTGAGTAGAGGTTTGGCCAGCTGGAGACACTACCGCACGCCATTTGAATGTGGATTATGTCCCATGATTCTTCGCCCAGAGCCCAGGGACTTTCGTAGTCGCGAGGATAGAGCAAAGTAACGTTTTCCAGGATTTTGTCGGGGCCCATATTTGCAAGATCAATTCCCACAAACTCGGTGTTCCGGTATTTTGCCGCCATGTCGACGAGCCAGAAACCGGTACCGAACCCCAAATCGAGCACGCGACATCCATTGTGGCCAGGAGGTCTTTCTTGAAATGGCGCATTCAAGAGGTTTCCGCGGCGCGCCTCTTCTAACACTCGGTGAAGGATATCAAGTCTATCTTTCTCGAGTTCATCGCACGGCAGCAGGTAAACGCCACTACATGATCAGCAAGGTTTAGCCCGAAGCTGGCATAGTTTAACGTACCGACGAAAAGTGCTGTACAGCCTGCCATTCTCCTCGTACTCTGCCTCCGAGGGCCTGGGCAACCCATTGATGCCCGCGGGTCCACTGCCGGCCATATGAAGAAGTATCCCTACAAGTATATTTGTCCAATCGCACCTTTTGCGACGACAGAAGCAGCTGGCAACAATTGGAGTGCATTTGGGCGCAACGATATCAACAACGACAGGTGATTGCGATTCGTGAGCCCAGGTCGCGTTTGACGGCTCAGATGCAGGAGCTGTGTAGAAGCCTAGGATGTGGTTTCATGGTGAGCTGGCCATCGAGCAGATAGTGCCGCAGTATGAGATGAAATGAATGACGCACAAAAAAGGAGCGAATAGACGGGGAAGAAGCCAGCTGGCACGGAGAAGAGGATGGTGGGAAGTTAAATGACCCATGAACTGTAACGATTCACAAGCAGTTTGATAATCATCTGTCTTTTTGGATCTGTTTAGGAGCAGAGTTCTCACTGGACTAGAGCCTAGGGTCCTGAACTATGGGACAGGCTTGCAAGGATGCGCCAGAGAGGTGGCTAACCAAACTACTAATAATGCAACATTGATGGAAAAGACTTTCAAGGTTCAGTGGTTGCAGTGATAGTAGGTGTACCAAGTAAATGGGCAGATTGACTTGAGTTTGGGTGCCAGGTGGCCGGTGGAAAAGCCGCTTTTGGCTCGCCGCAGCTAGAATACTCTAATTCCCTGGGCGTGGGCAGCCGATTTCCAGTGTCCGCGATGCCCACACCACCGGGAAGCAGGAGGGGACCTTCATCGGTGGCCCCAGCACATCTGTCCTTGAAACACACGCAATCTTCGGCCCAGACCAAGACACCTCCTCCGCATCGACTACGTATCTTCCGGTTAGCAAGAAAACACTGCTGGTAACACAAGGCCACCACTGCGGGCAAAAGTCCCTGTAATCTTCCTGCTCACCAGCAGCCTTGCACGTTTCTGGGGCCAATGAGAAACAGACCTGAATTGAATCCAGAGGTAATGATGCAGCAATGTCCATCTGTACCACCAGTGGTTCCGTCTTTCCTAACCCTGATATCCTCATTAGCACAACTGCTACCAATCATGTCTAGATTTCGGCGCCGCCCTTTGATGCACGTCGAATTTCACCGACATTCTCATTTCGTTTTGAGCGTGGTACGACCTTCGGGGGATTTTCTCTTCACTAGAGCACGTTGGAATAACTTTCTACGTTGGACAGCACCTGTCAAGTATTTGTCTCTGCAAATCACGATCAATATGAAGAACCAATACTCTGGATCCTACGACCCAATATGTGTCCTGTCATCAAGAGCCGTTGTTGATGGTCATATCCCTCTCATTTCCGAGCCGCGTTGCAGCTTCTAGACATCTACCTACTAGAGATTCTTTCTTGTGACATGTCTACTAGCCATCTTCGAGAAGAGGCTATGCTTATACGAGCAACCGGAAATCCCATCCCTTCCTGCATTGCATGTTCTACCGTAGTACGACTGGTATTGGATCCAAAGGGACAATTGGGAAATGATCGCCATTACGAGGCCTCCGCTGACAGTTCTGGTGAGGAGGTGACAGCAGGATTGTACAGGCATAGTCTTGAAGATTCGTGCACCATGATTCGTCCTTCGGGGCATGGATTGGATTGAGCGTACCGACTGAACGGTAGCGGAATACCGAATATCCAAGCTCGACCAAGCTCGTCGCCTTCTCCTGCTTTAGACTTACACGGTTTAGTGCAGTAATCTGGTCTGTGTCTGCCTTTTTCCAGCTCCAAGTGGTGTCGCCTATCTACTCTGGACTTGGTCTAATCTTGCTTGTGACTGGAATTTACAATAAGCATCTGGATTTGTCGACCGGGTTACTGGGGAACTTTCTGAGGAACCTTTCCGATGCAGGATGGCGGCTTCGAGCACCCGGTGCTGGCTTGCATTTGACTACTGTAACTGCCAAACTAGTCCAGCTGATAGCCGACCCAACACCTTGGATACTTTGGCCCCAAAAGCTTTTAGTTGGACGGGGATGGCACGGTGGACGACTTGACACGTCGATTGCTCCCAGAAACTCATTCAACTAACTAGTACTGTTCTGGGTGCAGTCAAGCTGGTAGTACGCATCAAAATAGCTGCATTCAGAGTAGATCATTTCTCGGCTTGATCAAAGCTCGATTCAAGGCACAGACGGCAACGGCATACTTCAAAGTGCTTTGGAGATCGTGTTCTGCCCGGCTCAACTTTGCTAGACCTCCGGACCGGAATATACATCATTTGACTATGACTCACAACGCCATTTCAATCAATAGTCTATGTCCAGGACATTTGTCAAGGCTCTGGAGAATGTGTTGCTGTGTAACCTTGAGTAGAACCTGCAGGACCAGACTACAAACACTAAGTTAGGTACAGATGAGAGAATTCGCTCGTGTTTGATAACTCGCCCCATTTAGTAAGGGGTAAACAGGATCATGCCGGAGGCGTCCCATTATACTTGGTCATCGGAAGAACAGCCTTTAAACTTCATCAATCATAGCTTTACGGTGGAATAAAATGAGAATGTTTATTTGAGTTCATGTACATGATCGATCGGTCTTGCTATCGTCTCTGCAATGGGCGACTTTCAGAAGAGAACCTCCCACCCCCCACATCCATCCAGTACATTCCCGGGCACAAAGGACCTTGCAGCAATGCTGTGCCGACCATCCCGATACTCTCTGTTCGCACTTTCTCGCTTAATGACTCGTGCATCTCGCCCATCAATTATCCTGAGCTAATCTCGAACTAGCTGAGCAATGGACGTGTCAAAGGTGTTCTCCGAAACTGCTTCAACTGCTCCATCTGAAATCGCCGGCAGCTATGTTTATTCCATCCTCCCTATCGAAGGGGAACGGCTAGCAGCACTGACATCGGGAGACGAACTCCTGTTCCTTGATAAAAGTGGCCTAAAAACTGTGAGCCGCCACCAGGATGACGTGCCAAAACTGGTCTCATGCATGGTGGGCTGTGAGGATAGAAAGGACGTCGTCGTTTGTGCAGGGGGTGATGGTTTGGTGGCTGTTTTTGACACACGAGCCGATCAACAGGTCTCTTACTTTCGCATAGGTCAGTCTGGTCCGGTCCGACTTCCCCACAGCACACGCGTTGATCTTTTGTTACAGATCGAGCTGTGACTGCATTAGCATACCATAACCATGGAGTGGCAGTAGGATCAGAAGCGGCCCATTCGCAATCTACTGTGAGCATATGGTTAGTGCAACCTTTCTAGGGTTTGTGGATGATATCCTATTAGCCTATCTGGAGGTCTTTGCACCAACATGCCATTATCGGGGCAGTACTCTTGATCTCTCGGGTCCTCTCCTTGGTAGTGGATGATATTCTTTGAGAATTTTAATGCTTCTGCAGCTCGCTCAACTTGTGTAACCCCATTTACAGAGGCACTTGACCTTATGACTCGCCCCGCCGGCTTATTGCATTTGCGTTTACTCATCCTGCGATCACTTATTGTTTCCAATTGGATTACTACATCTGCGATTAGACCTAATCTTGGATCACCTACTAATACGAGTGTTGTAGGGACATACGACAAAACCGGATGAGGTGGCAAAGCTCTGAGAATCACGATGACATCACTGCTTTGCAGTATCATCCGTCTGATCATCAGATATTGCTCAGCGGCGGAGATGATGGCCTCGTTGGTGTGTTTGATACTACCATCCAAGACGAGAACGACTCTCTGATTCAAGCTTTCGACCATGGTGTGTTGTGATCTAAAGTCTTGTGCAATGTTCGAAGCCGTCCCTATACGTCCAGAAGCTAAGAGAAACGTTTTAGGACCAATCCACAAAGCTGGCTTCCTGTCCGACACGGCGATTTACGCCCTAAGCGCTGATCAGCAACTCTCAATATATCCGCTCAACACCCCGGAGTCCAATGATAGAGGTGTCATTCAACCGATATCATTTGGTGATCTCCGGCCAACAGCTCAGTGCGATTATGTGATTGATGTTCTCCGAGATCTTCATCAGCCTTATGTAGTGGCAGGATCAAATCTCAGGTGTGAAAACTGAAGTGCCCGCCTTCGTTCTACTGAATTGACATTGCAAAAGCGATCCTCATATCGACCTTGTCCCTCTAACCGCCAATCCTAGGTTCGCCCTCTCGACGCAGAACGTCGTTCGTGTGCAAGGAGCTCATGGCGAGGAGATCGTCCGATCAGCCTATCTAGACAGATCAGTAGGGCTGTGCCGAGTGCGTCACGTGGATTGTGCTAATGTATGCTTTAGGCCGAGACCATTTTCACTGCTGGAGAAGATGGGTGCGTTAAAAGCTTCCGAGCTACAGATCGATCGGTTGAAGCAGCCGGACAGCAAGGATCATTTGTAAAAGAAACCAAGAAAGGCAAGGCTGGCCGCTTCAAGCCCTACTGAGGGCCTTAGCTGAACCATGGCTTCGGAGCTGGGTTTGGCGCTTCTTCTAGGACGCTCTAAATATTCTCTTCAGCGATTCGGCACATGTGACAGACACAGCAATTGCACTTGCTCAACTGGGTGCGATCACCTCGCATTAGAAAGTACACAGCCCTTTGACATCTGTATTCGACTATCGACTGCACTACCATCTTTGTGGACTATCTTTTATAGTGCATTGTTCACTATTCTTTTCCCTTTCTGTACTATATCAACACCGTGTCCATACGGCTGGAAGCTTCGCGACGGTCATGGAATTTCACCCATCGCATTTACAACGAATTTAGCAAGTTCTCTCAGCGCGAGGATCTCAATCACCGATAACTTGTCAATGGCTATTTCCGACAGTCCGGCAACCTAGCAATTCGCTTGAACCAACAATTTGATATCGAGAACGTGCAGGTAGAGGGCCGGTTGTTGACCCATGAAGCAATCCGGGTATTCCGATGAGGACCTGCGGCAAAACAAGACCATCAGCGTTGCAGGTATTCAGTCGAGGGCCTTGGACATATTACATGGGAGTTTCAGGCCGGTGATGAAGAGTGAGGGAGCAACAGGCGGTGCGGTCGGGAGCTTTTTCTGGTATCATGTTAGTTCCCTTACCACTCTTGCTCCGGTCAAGCCCTGACCTTGCGCCTTCAAGAATGACAGCTCGGAAATTGACATCGGAGCTATTACCCGCGGCACTTCCATCGTCAACAACACCATCAATTACACGGCCCATCCATCGACTTACGCAGTCGGCACACCAATCGTAACCGCGACGCGTTCGATGTCACTTGATTCTTCTGAGATTGTCCTTATGCAATTTCATCAACATCGCTTCGACTGCCATCCGCAAAAGGCATAAAATGCTACTTAGATGATGAAATAGTGCACGTTGATAACCACCAAAGCCCAAGCTCGCCAGGAAATGTGCAGCTAATCCTTTGGGCAGACGGCAACCGATGGTGGAGCAGCAAGCCTAGCACAAGGGATGTGGTCATGAGCATCAAGAGCATCGAAATATACAACAACACAAGTGGCTCGGTACAGGTGAAGATAGCAAGGTATGGTTGGAGGCGTGCGAGCAGGCTGGAGGACCTAAGTGAAATAAGTATATGCGAAGAAGGAAAAGACTTGTAAGTAGATGATCTACACATGATCTTACTAAGAGATGGTCGGAATATTAGGAATTTGAGCTTATATATCACTGGCAGTGGTAATAGAGTAGGTCATCAGAGGATGGTTGATTGGGAAATGCTGATTGGAGGAATACCTGCTCAGACTATGGCTTGGACACTTCTTTGAGATACTATGATAATGGTAATAGGGAATGAAAGAGCCTGGGTACGGAAGGGCACTTCTTCTGACTAGCCGGTAAGCATCGCTACTCTGTTGGCCGCCTCGCTACTCGGTTGAGCATTAGTTGCCATAGGGGTAATGTTTCGAAAGCTTGTATCGAGAGTTGATGTTGTGATGGTAGAGGAATCAACACCGCTAGACGGATTGAAGAGCAGACCCGGGAAGTAGTGTGCTCCTTGGACCATCATCAACATCATATATGAACAGGACGATATTCCAGTGCGCCGAGGTCCAATCTGCTACTTAGCCCTATCCAAAAGCCCTGATTTCCATTTGGAGCATCTTATGTCAGCTTCTGTTCACCCCAGGCCAACCATCCAGCAAAGCAAACCCGAGATCGGTGATATCTGTTCAGCATTCCACATTGTTCCCCTATTCTTGCCGATGTTGCCTCTGCCATCTATTGAGAATCTTGCGCCTTCCCCTTGATGCATACTGAGCACAAAGAGAAGCAACACGAGCACCCCCATCACAGTTCCTTCACCCTACACCGTACACCCGTCCACCTTTACTAGCAGAATGCCCACCTTCAACATCGTCGTCTTTGCCGGTGACTATTGCGGTCCGGAGGTACTTTTTCTCCCATCCTCGCTCTGCCCTTCTCCCTTGCATCTGTTGGGGCAGTGTGATACCAACAAGATGATCTTGGCAAAGTGATAAAAACAGGATTGGCTGACAAGGGGGGCCACATATGATAGGTGACGGCTGAAGCGGTGAAGATTTTGAAGGTGGTGGAGAAATGCTCGAAAAGGAAGGGAGATGAGCAGTTGAAGTTCGACTTTCAGGACTATCTTCTGGGAGGGGTGAGTTCTGTGCTTGTCATGATGTTTTTCCCTGCCGGTCGTTTATCTGTATGCGGATTTGTATCCTTCTTCGAAGAGCTTGGGCCAGGTGCGATATCGTGCACTTTGCAGAAAGATGTTTGCTTAAGCCTTCGCTGTGGGTTTGGGGTGGGAGATTGAGTATGGATCTTTTGCTTGATGCAGAACAAAAGTGTGCCCTTCATTTGCCTTCGATTTACTTTGGATTCCTTGCATGTGTGAGAGCTTTCCTTTTACCAAGAGACAATCTCATGGCTATTGGTTTGTTCGATTCATCTCTTAAAAAGCACGTTACATAAACTATTGGATTAAGTTCACCTTATTAGGTTCCCTGACTTATTAATTTACAAGCCACCTTTCTCTATCAATCTAGCACTTCCTTCATCACGCCACCAATACCATCCCCGTTCTCAGTTGAAAACACACCACACTGACCATGCCCTCACCCGAATCTAGTGCTCCATAGATGCCCCCGGCGAGCCTCTAACCGACAAAGCCCTCTCCGCCGCCAAATCCGCCC